TGGAAGTCGGGAGGGAGGGGGCCAAGAAATATCGGGACACAATTAGATATCCGGACTCGGGAATATTTCCGGCACCCTCTCCTGGTATACCTCGACACCCGGAGCCATCCCGGACGATCCGGAACGACCGCAATGGCGCGAGCCGGAAGAATCAGTTTACGGCTCGTCGCCTATGAATGTTGTTACATAATGTTGGCACACCCCCGCAGGGGGTGCATTACTGCCAGACTCGTGCACAGACCCTTGTCGGTCCCCATCGACGTCGTTTTCACAGGTCGACAGGGGGTGACAGGGGGAGAAAATCGCTCCGGACCCTCGAGGGGTGCGGAAAACGCGACGGACGAATAAGTGGTCGAAGAAACTAAATCCTAGGCCGAGACCGGGAACATCAAATGGTGCATAAAGAGAGCACGATTTTTATAATAATTTATCTACATTTTTTTAATCATTCCAAACCTTAAGGGGGTGTGAAAGCGGCATCCGAAAGCTCAATTGTTCATAAATCTTTTCCACGAACTGGATGTCTCAAATCGTTTCATACTTTAAAACGTGAATATGGAGACCCTAAGGTAGGTCCTGAAACTCGAGAAATTTCATTTTTTCTAAACTATTTTTAAAACACCTATAAACAAATTTGAAAAGATTTAAAATTTCATGAGTTTCAGGACCTTCCTTATAGTCTCCCTATTCACGTTATCAAGTTTCAAACTATTCGGTAAACCGAATTAAGAGAAAAGTTTTATAAACAAAACCTCTTCGACGCCACTTTCACATCACCTTAAGGCGGTATGAAAGAGTCAGCCTATATATATATATATCTTATTGTCATTACTTTACCGAAATGACATAGAAGCCCTTCATTTCGTACAATTCTCGACGTAGACTGTAAAAGACTTCAACATAAATATAAATGTCGGTAATGGGAGGGGCCAGCTTATAATTACCACTTGTGTATTCAAAACGGCATTACCACTAAAAAGTGTCTAGATGAACTTCACCTTATCAGCGTCGATTAAATTTCTTAGCGCCTTTCATATCCTCTTAAAGTCCTTGAAACTCACGAGATTTGTTGGAATGATTTTTTTTTCCAACCTTGTCCGGGATAAATACAATTTTCTTCTTTTTTTCTTTTCGTTGGAAAATTTTCCGAGTTTCAAGACCTTCGTAATCACGTGGGGACGTTTCGGATTGTCCAGGTGCACCTAGTTTGGAGTTTTACCAATATTTGGATGTTTGACGTATGTACGACACTTTGAAAGTACTTTAACCCCTTGCAGAGGGCTTAAGGGTGCTTTTCCGCCTACGCCGAAATGCCGGCGCCCCTTGGAGCTCGGCCTTGCCGTCTTCCTCTCTCCTCTTCTCTCCTCTCCGAGGAAATGGCGCCGGTTATGCAATGCCGGTCCCTCTCTAATCCCTCCGCCATCCCCGTGGCGAAATCATCCCTCCGTGCCAAAACGCCCCCGCGTCGAGCCAAGGATAGAGGAGTCCTGGAAGAGTCCCGCTCCGGCAACGGCCGCCACGCGATGGGAAAACTTTCCGCGCGGAATCCTTCCGCGGGCCCTCCGGCCCTAGATCTCCGCTCGACGGACGTAAATCCGTAAACGCTCCGGGAGCTTGGCACCGAAGTGCTCGTTTCCCTGCCCCCGGGTCTGCCGGTGTTTCCAGGACTTTTATCGCCGCTCCGAAATGTCGCGTCAAAAGCGGGGGTGGGTGGGTGGGTGGGTGGATGGGTGGGCCGGGCAGTTTTTGAGAAATCTGGCACGGCGAACGAGTTCAGATTGCACTCGCCCCCCCTGCTTATCACCGTGGGGTGTCCGCCTCTCCGTGGATTCTGATTTTTCCCCGGATCTTTCGGGAAAATCGAGGTCGATCCGCGGCTCGTCCTTTTCCATTTTCCGGTTCCCTTTCTTCCCTTCCGGTCGATTTTTCGTCCCGTCCCCGGGGTAGAGGATTCCTTCGGGTCTCGGGGCGCAATCACCCGCGTCGTTAGCCACGGTTTCGGGGATTTCGACGGCCGTATCCTGCGGGAGCCTTCGCCCCGGAAGGATATTACGGATTCTAAGGAGCGATCCATTCTCCGGGATTTTTCATAATGCGCCCGCCGCCCTTCGGGGTCCCCTCCCTGTCCGGGGGAGGAGATAGCTTTTCAATGGATGGGGAGGGTAACAGAATGCCGATAATGTTTTATGCATCCTTCATTCCCGGCGGCAAGCCTCGGCTCGAATTTCCAGCCGGCCGGTCCTGGACAGGATTTGCATCCCGGGGGTAACGACGACGCGACGCCCTGATCGGGGAAAAGGAGTCCCCGGGTCCCGAGGACTCCTCCGGGGAGAGAGAGAGCACCGGACATCTGGAGCGAAACTTTCGACTAGCAGCTTCCGGATGTCCGGATTAGGGTCTTCCTTCCTATCGGCGGACCGAACCTTCAGGAGACCGTGTAGGAGTATCCTGTCAGGACCGCGCAGGACCCCCGGCAGACTCAAAGGCAATCGCCGACAATTGCGACGGCGAGAGTACTCCCACGTCCTCGCGTTACCTTCCTCGCAATCCGGGGTAGGTTTCCCCTCTTCAGCGAATCGTGACTCGAAATACCGAGAGGGCCAGGACTCTTCCAGGAGCGGTCAGGACTCGTCTCGTTTTCACCACCCTCGCCTACCCAAGGACCTCCAGAGTTCCCGGGGAAAGCCCGCGACCCTCCGCCGAGGGTCCTAATAAATCCAAGACTCTTCCCCGGAGTTTCCGCGGGGCCGGGGGAATTTTTAACGAACCCCTTTAGCGCGTCCTTATCACTGGGGAAAATTTCATTCGGAGCTTTCGCCGCGATAAGTCGGGCCGAGCGGAAACCCGGGAATTTTTTCTCTTTTTTTTTTTTCGGGAGGGAGGGAACACTTCCCTCCCCCGGTCGATCACGGGAACCCGAGAGGATTCCCTCGACATGGTCAAGCACCGGCGATCTCCCCGGGGGTGGGATTCGCGAGCTGTTAAAAGTCGCAGAATTGATCGATTAATTTGATTAGCTAGCCGGATAATCGGCCACGATAGGAAAAGGGGAGAAGCCCCGGAGATGCGCCGACGTGGCTTTGCTCTCCCTCGGGATTCCACCCTTCCGATGCACCCTCGACCCCTTTCCCCTAGGAGACCTTCTAGGACGAGAACCCTTCCCCTTTAAGACGGGGAGAAATTTTCCCTCCCCTCGTAGGAGGGTCCTGCAGGACTCGCGGCACCCTTTCTCCCCTCCCAGGGGGTCGAAAGGGGTCCTTGCCTCGGGACTTCCGTGCCCTCTTCCTCCCCCAGGACACTTGGCGCTTCCTCGGCACCGGGAGGGGGAGGAATTTGTGGCCGCGTCTCTTGCGAGTGTCAAGCGCCCCAAAATCGAGGGCGAGCCCGCCCGGGGGAGGGGAGCCACCCCCGCACCCTCTTCGGGGCTCTTCTCCGCAGGTCTCCGCCGGCTTTGTGCCCCGGCCCCGACGGTGGCGGCTTTTGAATTTACGTCGAGGAGAAATTTATACGAAAACTTGACAATGCTCGCCAGCCCGGACTCGGTTTGCTAGCTTTCAGGCGAGCCCCCCCGCGAATCGACCCCGTGCCCCTCCCCTCGCCCCCTCGGGGTACACCCCAGATTATACGCGCGGAAAATGAATTCACAGTCGTAACGAGAAATTTCACTTGCAGGGACAAACATGAACATTCATAAAAGAGCCCGTAAACAATTTTGATAAGAACAAAAAAACCATTACTCCCCGGGGGCAACGCAAATTCTATTCAGTTGCGACGTTCTTTTTCCAGCAACGACGAATTCTATATCGCTGATTAGCTTGAACTAAGGCGACTAAATTTCCTTCGTTGTTGCGACAAATTTGTTTGCTAATTTTCAATGATCATTCATAAGAAAGCCTGTAAAGATTTTTGTCGACGACAAATTGTATGTTGCTGATTAGCTTAAACAGAAACGACTATACCTTATTAGCTGTTGCGACAAATTTGTTTGCTAATTTTCAACGTACATTCATAAGAAAGCCCGTAAACATTTTTGACAACAACAAATAAACCATTACCCCCCGGGGACCGCGCAAATTCAATTCAATTGCGACGTTCTTGTTATAGCAACGAAAAATTGTCCATCGCTGATTAGCTCGAATATTTTCTTGGCAGTTGCGACAAATTTGTTTGCTAATTTGGCAAGTATTTTTTATACAGGCTGCGATGTCGGATCGAGCAAACGGGGCGATCTTCCGGTCCTTTAGCAACTCTCGAAATCGGGGCATTTCAGAATTCGCAGGGGGTCGACTGTCTCTCCCTCCTCGCGGATTTTGCACCTCTCGGCTTTCGCGGAACCTCGGAAGAGATCCCGATGCTCGCCTCGAAATCGAGCTCTCACCCTTTGAGGCGGGACCCCCGAGAAAGGGGTGAATGCTCAACTTCGAGTCCTTTGACTCGTAATTCCCGGTCTTGTTTAAGAAGCGACGCGACTTACGCTTAATTTGAGGGAATCCTCCGTGGAGCCGTATCCTGACTCCTCTTCCGGGAAATTACTTCGCACTAATATCCCTACCCTTAATCGCGAACGGGGTGGTATCAATTTCCCAGAGGATATTGACATTTTCGAAAAATGGGAAGGACACAAAAGAATCCTGAATCCTTGGTCCCTAGGGTGGGAGAAATACATTTCCTCGTCGACAAATCGAATTTCACTCGGGTCCTTCATAACTACGCTTTACTGTATCGCATCATTCGGTGCATCCAGTTTGGATAATTCCGTTATCAATATTTCGACATCCCGTAGATAGAGTGACCCTTTCGTTCCGCCTTAACGCGCTTGCGCGCCCTTCCTTCCGCCAACTCGCCGTCCGGCGTCCCTTTGACGGGACCCGGGCACGCTCCGGTGGGCGCCTCCACCCTCGGGACTCCTTTAATCCTCTAATCCCTGCTCCTCCGCGATCGGGCACTCGGAGAGACTCCTGGGGACCGGGGATTAACGGCGATCCGTCGAATCGTTTCAGACAACGTGCCTAACCGAGCTGCCGGATGTAGCGCCGTGCAACGGCACCGTCCGGTTGCCACCGCCCTGCGAGGACTCGACCAGCAGCGGGAGCAGCAAGGAGAGGAGGGAAGAGAACCCTCGGAGACGATGTCGAGTCCTGGCGCCGATCCTCCTGCTGGCAGGGGCCCTGCTCCTGGGGGGGCTGTGCCTGCCCCTGCTCCTCCAGTCGGCCCCGGCGACGCACCAGCAGAGACTGGACGTTATCAGGAGGATACTCACTGAAGTGCCTCTTATCGACGGGTAGGACGTCCCGAGGGGATCGAGGAAGGATGCTCGATCCTGCAGGTGTTCCCTGGTAGAGAACCCGACCCTCGTTTGATCCTCCTTCCCTGCTCTTCCAGGCACAACGACCTGCCCTGGAACGTCAGGAAGTTCGTGCACAATCAGCTGGGGGAGGTCAACCTGAGCAGCGACCTCGGCAGGGTGGACCCCTGGGCCAGGTCGGACTGGAGCCACACGGACATCCCGAGGCTCCGGGCAGGACTCGTCGGGGCGCAGGTGAGGGTTTTGGGGCTTTGTCTGAGAGATTTCGAGGTTCCCCTGGGACTGGGAGAGAGGAGTCACCTCGGAGGCGGATCCGACTTCTTCGCGGCCCGGGAGGACAGGTGGACCCTCCTCGGGGGTGATTTCTTCCTTCCCTCTCGTCGAGGAGTAGGAGCCCAGCTTTCCTGGCCAGGAGAGGAGACCAATCCGCGGTTGTTTGTCGAGGGTCCTCGATAAACTTGCCGGACGCTGGGTTCCTTCGGGATATGGTGCTCGGGCCATCTGCCGATAAGTTACGGTCGCCGCGAAAGGGGTCAACGAGTGGAGGGCCCTCCTCCGGAGCTTTCCTCCCATCTAGGGGATTTCTCCGTCTAGGATTTCGCCCCCCCCAGTGGGTGGAAAGCCCCCCCCCGAAAATCAACACCCGTTTCTCCCGGGCGCGCCATCCGTCAACGTCGGGACATTATCCGAGAGTGCCTCTCTCTCGTGGGTTTTTAATTTATAACTTTTTACCGGGACGCGGGATCAAAAAATCCTTCCTATAAATATCGTCCGCGGGGATGCGAGGGACAACTTTTGTCCGGGGCGTTTTCCTGGCCGACGCGTCCTCGCGACGGAAAATCGAATTTAATCCGGAGAGTCTCTTAACCCCTTAATTCGTTTTTAATCCGGGCCTGCTTAATTAGAGGTCGATTCCGAGAGGGAATTAGGCGGTCCGGGGACTCGACTCCTCTCGTGGTTCTAATTTTCCCTGCCGGTCCTAAATTTCGTCTAAGGACCTGTCCTCGAGACACCCTCCTCCCGGAGGACCCGGAGCTAAAACTGGTCCCTGAGTTCTACCAGGAACGTTCATTTCTCCCGGATAATTATTCGACCATTGATATCGCTCGGGCGGATAAATCAAAATTATTAATTCCCGGTAATCGGGGAACGAAATATCACCACATATATAAATATATATATATATATTCCATCCCCTCGAAATTTATGCCTTCCACCCTGAGAAAGAAAAAAGAAGAGAGGAAATTCCAGCCATTCTCCGAGTTAATTATGGCGAACTCGATAAGCGAGTTGGTTCAACTTTGAATTTTTAATTAAATAGTGTAGTCAAACTATTTTCACGGTCGCTGTAACTCTAAATGTAGGGGATTCAGCATTTTTAAATGACTTAATAAAAATCTGTTTTTGTTTTTCACCTGCATGTTTGAAGGTGAATTTACTCTTCTATTTTTTTTCGCGTACACGTTTGGAGGTAAATTTACTCTTTTTTTTTACGTTCATGTTTGGGGGCGAATTTATTCTTTTTTTTTTCACCTGCCTGTTTGGAGGGGAATTTACTCTTCTTTTTTTTTCACCTACATGTTTGGAGGTGAATTTACTGTTTTTTTTTGCATACATGTTTGGAGGTGAATTTACTCTGTTTTTTTTTTACGTTCATGTTTGGGGGCGAATTTATTCATTTTTTTACCTGCCTGTTTGGAGGTGAATTTACTCTTCTTTTTTTTTCACCTACATGTTTGGGGGTGAATTTACTCTTTTTTTTTGTTTTTCCTCGGGGAGGTTCGCGGGTCGAGTGGCAAAGGAGAGTTCCGTTTATCCCGGCCGATTATACAGATCGTCCGGAACGGGGGAAACGCTGCGGCCTAATCGCAGGTCGGGCCTATCGGCATCTGCCAATCGGCGTCGAGCTTCGGGAGTCGGCGAGCCTTCCTCCGTCGCTAATGGCTGGGGCTTAAAGCCCGACGCCCGGGATTGCGGATGCTGCTGACCGGGCGGAATGCGTAATGCATCTGCAGCATCCGGGAATCCCGGATGCGCGGATTCCCCGGCAATCGGCGTTTCTTCCTCCCCCGATTCCTTTCCGGTCCTCGAGGGTGGCGACTCGAGGCGGGGGGCCCTGGGTTCCGGGGGTACAGAGAGGGCGGAATGCATAATCCGGGTGCAGGGGTGCGGAGGTGCATCCTCGCGTTATCGTCCCCCCGATTGGCCGGGGCGCTCCGGGCCTAAGTGAATGGCTCTGCGGAGAGAGCTTCGCTGATTACGGTGTCGCCATTGACTCCCCTCGAAATTGGCTCGCCTCTGTCACGGAACGCACCCCGAGGACCATTAATCTCCCCTCCGGATGACGCCCAAATCCGCGGCCGACCCTCGACCTGGGAATATATCCCGGCGTCGAGGCAGGATCCCGATTGCCGGTAGAATTCCGGAGAATTGGGGATAATTCCGGGGATATCCCCGAGGACGGCGTCTTCGGTCGCCCCCGAATTCCTCCCCTTTTTTCCATCCCCCCCGCGTACGTCGGCCAGGCTTAATGATTTATGAAAACGTCGGGGGGGGGTAGCTCGTCGACGGGGTGGTTTCCGGGGAGCCGACGGCAGGTGTCGATACGCCAATCACGCGTCCCGACGCCTTGTCGTCGGCCAGGGGGAAAGAGGACGCCTCGGGTAGGGGTAGGTCGGGCCGATGGTTTATGCGCTCCATTTGTAACGAGGGGTGGTGGCCAAGGGGCGAGAGAGAGAGAGAGAGAGAGAGAGAGGGTGGGAGTTGCATCCCGTCCATAATTAGGTCACACCGGGCAACCCCGATGCACTGACCTACCCCGACGGCCATTTTCAGGGGGCGAGCACCCTTCGTCTTCCGGTCTTCGGGCGATCCCACCCCCTGCGTCCCCCCATCCCCGAAGAATAATTCCCTCGATCCCGGAAAAGAAATCGACTCCGTGGTCGGAAAACAAAAGAAAAGGAAATTAGAAAGAAAAAACCGCCAATTAGAGCGACGCGCCTCGAGGGAGGCATCGACCCCCGAGGGGGGTGTCTCCCCCGCCGGGGGGGCAAGAGAAAGGGGTTCGAGTTACATCGCGGAAGTCTATGTAATACATAATGCGTAGATAAATATTTTTATTTCCACCCCACGTATCCCCTTGGAGAGACACCGAAGGAAGTGCCTCTTCCTCCCTCCCCCCGGGGGGTGTTTATTCGGGGGGGTATTTGTCCACTCCCCCGGGAACCCGAGGAGAGGTGCAAACGTCCCGAGGTCCTCGGAAAAGTGAAAAGGGACCCTCCTCCCGGTTTTCCCGGGGAGGCTTCCGGTTTCCCCGGCTCTTATCCCCCGGGAGTCCTGGACCCCCTTCCGGGGGGGTGTCCCCTCGATTACGGGAAAATCGAAGAGGGAGGATCCCATTTCCGGGGCTGATCGGCGATTTCGGGCCGCATAGAGGGGGGGGGGGGTCGATAAATTAACACCCCCTCTCCATCTCGCGGTGTCATTCGATTAATTCCAATGGCTTCGATCAATCGGAATACTTTGTAGGGATTCCACCCCGATCGATGGCGGCCGATACCGATTAGGGGGTCGTTAGCGATCGACTCGATACCAATCGAGATCGTGGCGATTTGATATTTTCTTTCAGGGGTTCGTTTCCCCCCCTTGTAGGAGATATCGGCCGCGTTTGGGGGTGGAATCTCCCTCCCTCCCTTTTTTCATTTTCTTTTTCCCTTTCCGGGACGGAGTTCTCCGATAAAGGGGGGGAAGATGTAATTCCGCGGGGATATCCATTAATCGGGACGCTGTCATCCGGCGTCCGCGAATACTCTTGGGTATCTTTGAAGTATTTACCGAGGCCGCTTCGGACCCGGTGCTTTTATTCCCTTTCCCGAGGGCTCTCTCCGCTCCTCCGGATTACCGGATTTCCATGCCTTTGCGGGAGGTCCTCTGCGCCTCCACCCGCGGTGTCCTGGCCCTCGCCCAGAGGGAGGACCTTTCCTATCCACGGATACGCGTCCACCCTGTCGCGGAATATCGCGAATCCCCCCCGACCTACCCCCATCCTCCGCGAGGTACAGAATTGATAATACACCCCCTGTTATCATATCTGGAACATTTTCGAAATCTCGAAATTAAGTCGATAGCTCCCTCGAGGGTTCTTACCCCCTCTCGGTGGATCCGCGGATTCGCCCGGGGGCGAATCCGCGGATCCAATCTCGCGTTTCCGGAACGAGCCGGTGGCCGCTTTAAATCGAACGCAGGGCGACCGTTTCCGCCCCAGAAAGCCGCAAAGCCGGCCGCGAGGGCGGGGGGAGGAAAGAGGAAGGGGGTGCTCGGACAAAGCCATGAATATCCCGCGGTAGTTTCTTGGTTTCCCCGTTTTCTCATCTATCCCCGACTTTTTCCCTCCGCTCCCCCTTTTTTTCTTTTCCCCCCCTCCGATCTTCGAGAAGGGCGCGGAAGGGGTTTCTGCGGTTTCCGCAGCATCTTGCCCGCAACGAAATGACCGCGAGAGCTGCTCCTTTGAGTCGGGAGTCTCGAAGGGGGTGGAGAGACATCGGGGGAATGCAAATTGAAAATTGGGGGGAGGGCTCTTCTATCCAGGTTGCGGGGAAAAAAAAGTAAGCCAAGTACATTTGGAATTCCGCAGGCGTTTAGTGCCCCTTTCCCCTCTCTACCCCCCGATTGCGGTCGAATTGCCGACCAATTGGCCGATTCGGTAAATGAAAACAGAGTCTCGGGGAAACGAGCTCGGCTTTCCTGGACCGAGTATCCCTCGTGGGCGCGATGGAGCCCCATCCTCGGGGGCCTGGGGGGCAGGGGGCGAACGGTGTTATCAAAAAGCCACACCCCGCCGATTTGGCCCGACAAGCGGCGATTTAACGACGAGACCTGGATCGATTCCTCACCCTACCCCGGCGAATTAGCGGTCGCCGGGGTGCGCCCCCACCGCCGTAGAATCCGCGGAAATTGCGATTTCCGCGGAAAAACGCGAGGCGGTTTTTCTCGGGGAATCGGTCTATCCCCTTTTTTCTCATTCTTTTCTTCCCGATGGAACCCTTTTTCGGGAGCCGAGGACGCGCATTGATAATGAAAGGACCCGCGGTGATAACGATTAGTGGAAAGGTGCGGAAAGGAAATCTCGTCCTGGCCGGTCCGGCGGAAACGCAGCGGGGCCTATGGGGGAACCATCTCGCGGCTCGTTATGCCCCGTCATCGTCCCACGGTTTGCGGAGCGCACGCGATTCCAATTAGCCTGCGGTCTAATTACCGCGGGCTTCCGCGCCAGGGCAAATATTGAATTTCGGCCCTCGGAACTCGAAAACCGATCGACCGCGTCCCGCAAACGACGTCCCTTGACGCGCGACTCCCGCGGCCGATTTCCCGCGCGGCCTGCCGACGAGCTAATTTCCTTCCTGCCTACCCCCTCTTCAACCCTTTCTGCATTTTTTGCCAACTCCCCAGAACCCCCGCAAAGAGGGGAGTCGACTATCGCGGACGACATCCGCGCGCAAAGGAAGCGTAACAGCCCCCCAGGGGCAGCTGTCAAAATCAGCTGATCGGTCTTCCCGTCACCTCTTACGAGGAGCGCGTACCTTGAGAAAGGAGAGATGTCATCGATGAATGATCATTCAATGAATTTCACTACGAGCTAATTTCCTTCCTGCCTGCCCCCCCTTCAACCCTTTCTGCATTTTTTGTCAACTCCCCAGAACCCCCGCAAAGAGGGGAGTCGACTATCGCGGACGACATCCGCGCGCAAAGGAAGCGTAACAGCCCCCCAGGGGCAGCTGTCAAAATCAGCTGATCGGTCCTCCCGTCACCTCTTACGAGGAGCGCGTACCTTGAGAAAGGAGAGACGTCATCGATGAATGATCATTCAATGAATTTCATTAAATGTCGATGTAAATTGAACGCGATGTTCATTCCGAGTTGTAAGAATTTGAGTGAAATGATTATTAATAATTTTTAGAGATGATTAAAAAATATGGAATTGTAATATCGCTACTACGGTATTTTGTGTATGTCGATGTCTCGGTATGTATTGAGATTTGTATTTCTCGGTGAGGTATGTACAAAATGCTGATGGTTACCGGTAAGTGAAAGTTATCGAGTACCGGTCGAACAGGGTCGGTTCCATCGATTGATCGTTGACTCGGGATTTCTCGTCGCCGGTCTCTAGGTATCCGTTAAATGGTCTCCGTTTCATTTTCAGTTCTGGTCCGCCTACGTGCCCTGTGGAGCAGCGCAGCTGAACGCGGTCCAGCTCTCCCTGGAGCAGATCGACGTGATCCGGAGGCTGGCCGAGATGAACGCGCAGCACCTGACGCTGGTCACCTCGGTCAAGGGTGGGTCGCCCTATTCCCTTTTAGCCTCGATTTTGAAGATTTCCCGCGGTCGAGGGTGGCCCTCAGTGGGCCGGAAAATTAGGGTAAGACCTCGGTGTCGGCGGTACTTGCGCGCGTAATGGCGCGTTACCGGTTGACGGGGCCGTAATTACTTTCCTCGTGGGGGGCGGTTTACGTCGCCGGATTGAACGCGTGCACCCCCCTAAGGGGAGGCACGTGTAAAACGTCACCCTGGTCGGACGACAGGTGGTCGGCGTTGCTTGCATTTCCCACGATTCCCTCGTAACCGGGGAGAGGGACGTCCTTGCTCCTCTCCTGGGAGGTTCGACCCCAGGAAGGATCCTCCGACCCCTCGTGTTATCCCCGGATTCCTCGAAACCTTGCTCCTTCCTGGACTTTCTATTTTACCTTTTACTTATTTCTTTTCTTTTTTGTTTTCCACCCTCGTTGCATGCCCGCTCCAGAGTGGCCGTGAAATCGACGGAAAGAGGGGGCGGAAAGTCGATTTGCAACCCCTTCTTCTCTTTCCTTTGTTTTCCCTCGGCTTCCTCTTCTCCGGCTCGAACTTCTCCTCCTCGAGTCGGGAATTTCGAGGACGCGTCCAGGATACTGGAGAAGGTGGAGGCGATCGCGTCGAATGCGATAAACCCCTCTTGAAGGAACGCCGTCCCGGGAGGACGAGGTCGATTTATTCGAGCTTTTAACTTTCCAGGTCTAATCGAGGCGCACCGAGAGGGGAAGATCGCGAGCCTGATCGGCGTGGAGGGTGGACATTCCCTGGGGAACTCCCTGGGCGTGCTGAGGACCTTCTACGGCCTGGGGGCCAGGTACCTCACCCTGACGCACGCCTGCGACACCTCCTGGTGAGAGCTCCGCCGATTTTTCGGGAGGGGTGTCGGGGTGTTGTGGGGGATCGGTCGGGGCGACGTCGAAAGAGGTCCTGAAGAGGTCCTGAAGAGGTCCTGGAGAAGCTCCGGCCTCCAAAATCATCCCCGAACCGTCGAGTACCCCGAAGAACCTCTTCCAGAAAAAAAGACTCCCCGAAATTCCTTGTCGCGTCCTCCCCTTTCGATCGCACCCTCCTGGGGGATGACGCGCGCTCCTCGAAGAGCACCCCGTGCACTTTACGCACCGCACGGTGCACCGACGTCGTAAAAGTCAGGGTCAATCCTCCCCGTGGCGGTTTTAATTTACGAGGGGTAGTTTACCGATACGCCGGGATTTTATTCACCGGTCCGCCCGGGTAAACCTAGGGGCGGTTACGATCGATGACGGAGGGAGCGAAAGAATTCCTTTTTGTTCCTCCGGGATCGTCTCGATCGATTCTCCCGCGGGAACGGGCCGAGGCGTCCCTGGGGACCCGCAAGGATCCCAGGACGTCGGACGTCGCCGGGAGGAGGTGGGAAAGCTGGAGATTGAATTTTCCTCGGTCCGCGTCGATGTATGCCTCGCACCCCCGGGAGAAGGAGGGGGCCCTTTGCCCCAGGGGTGCGCGTATGCACCCCTGGGAGGGATTCCCGGGGGAGGGGGGCGAGTTGGTCCCGAGATATTGAATTTTCTCCGGCCTCTCTCCTTCGGGACGTCTCGCGACGTCGCACCGTATTGCAACTCGAACTCCACTCGGGAGGGGAGAAAACAATCGACCCCTCTCCCCTTCATCCCTCTCTGCGGGAATTTTTGCCGGGGGATCCCTGAATGTCGAGCCGGACGAAAATTCGATCTTATCCCGGGGGATGATATCCTTTATGGCCAGGGCCGATGGCCGACGAATCTAACGAGGATTTTCTTGGCAGGGCAGTCTGTTCGGTCGGGGAGTCCAACGGGACCCAGGAGAACGTGCCGGGACTCAGCGAGTTCGGGAAGGTGAGTACGGCATTTATATATTTTATATATATATTTTTTTTCCCTTCATTTTTGGATCCACCCTTGCGGTTCCCCCAGGTGAGACGCGTCCCGTAGGCGAGGTATCCCCCTATCCTGGATATCTGAATACTGCAAATAGTCCAGACATCCTTCCTAGCGATAAATCAGACAATGGAGATGCATTGCCCCTAGAAGGCGACTCGAAAGGTATCCCTTCCCTCGGGACGCTGCCCTCTTGGAACGCGTTCCGCGGCGGAAACGGGACCGGGGATTTACAGGGTGGCATATTGCCGCGAATCGGGAACGGCGTCGCGACGCGGGTCGTCGGCCTCCGTTTTATCAATTTTATCACGCTCGTCGTTGCGGCTGCGGGATATCCCCGGGTTATAGGCGGCATCCTGGGGGAAGAGTCGGCCTTCGATCCGTCCCGATTCCTCCGGGAGGCGGCGCCGTTCGCCCATCTCGTGGACGGCATAGGGAAAAGGGGTGGGAAGGGAAAAGAAAATGATAAACCAGGGGTTGGCGAAAATTTCCACGGGGGGTCCCTCAGGAGGGGAACCCTCCTTGTAAATTAATCGGCTCGAAGACTCGGAAGACTCGGGGGTGGCTCCCGGGGGTGCTGGGGGCATTTACTCCCCCTTTTATTCGCCCCTTCTTGACCCTTCGAAACTTAGACAATTCGATTTTAAGTTAAACCGCAGACGTATATACGCGTGTATATACATTGAATATACATTGGATCGGCAAACTACCCGAGGGGGAGTCGCCCCCGCGGGGGTGGAGGCCGATCTTGGACCAATAGCCATTAAGATTTCCCTCGTTTCTCGCAAATCGCTTCCGGATTCGTTTCCAGCCATGAATAACCAAGCAGGAGTGTCGCTCCTTCTTTCCCCCCCGTTTTCCTTTTTCCCATTTTTTCCTCCTCTTCCCCTTTCCTCCCCGTCCGAGACACCCGATAAAAGGGGAAGTCGTGCGTGCTCGCGAAAATGGAGCGGCACGCTCGTTGGGAAACCCCCGGCCATTGTCCCCCTGGAAAAATCCGTGGCTTTTCCGCCGGTCGTGGAAACGCGCGCCACCCCCTTCGGCTCTTGGTATCGGCTCGAGGGGGAGGATCCGCCGGGAAGGGTTAAAGGACCTCCTCGAGGATGTTGGCGGGTCATTTCCAGGAGGACGACCAGGGGTGAAATTAGGCGTTCCTCCTCTGTTTGCAGGCCGTCGTGAGGGAGCTGAACAGGCTGGGGATGCTGGTGGACCTGTCCCACGTGTCCACCAGGACGATGAGGGCTGCTCTGCAGACCACCGGGGCTCCCGTAATCTTCTCCCACAGCGCCGCCAGGGCCCTCTGCAACTCCAGCAGGAACGTTCCCGACGACGTCCTTAGGAACCTGGTGAGTCCTCGAGGAAAGGCGAAGGATTAAGGACGAAGAAGGGAACTTTCAACGGCCCTGAGGAAATCTTCTGGGAGGGGGAAGGGTAATTTCCTTCGGGGAAGGTCCTGGGTGTCCTCCAATTACCGGGGTGACGGTAATTCATGTAACCACCCCTGGAATCCCGGGCCATGTGGAAAGCGGATGATCTTCGATTCTCTATCCCCTTCCGGGCACTCTCCGGTAACGAAGTCCGCACCTGTTCCGGACCGTTCGAAGCCAATTAGCAAATGGGCTCCGCCGGGTCGCCTGAGAGAGAAAAGGGAGGGAAGGGGGGAAAGGAACGAAGAGGCTGGGGTGAAGAATCGCCGCGATTCGCGCCCCCGGGAAAAACGGCGAGCCTGGAAGCGGAAAACTGAAGCCTCGGTTTTCCGCCCTTAAGGCGATATGAAAGGCGCTAAGAAACTTAATCGACGTCGGTTAAGTCAAATTCATCTGTACCCTTTTTGGGGGTAATGCCGTTTTGAATACTCAAGTGGGAACATAAGCTGGCGCGTCTCATTACCGACATTTATATTTATGTTTAAGTCTTTTACAGTCTACGCTGAGAATTATACGAACTAAAGGGTTCCATATGTCATTTCGGTAAAGTAATGATAAAACGATCGATGTCAAACTGTGGAAATCCCATGAATTCATGACTTTTTATATTCTGATGAACCGACGTCGCCATCTGTGACGTTTAGCTGCAACTAAATTTTTCCTCTAAGAACACGTGGTAGCCGCGGGACTAGCCAGCATTCTCTTGCAATCGTTGGCGAAAGTATTTACCACATTTTCCCATCTGACTCTGTAATATTCCATTTCTACGGTATTCTAAATTGTTCAAGCTAGGTCCTGAAATTCTTTCATTTTGGATGTTATGCCTCCAAGAAGCGTGAAACATCGAACACGTGGCCGGACCACGCCACGTGGGTTCCAGTCCATGATAAGTAAATAAATATTTCATGAAAACTGAAATTTTCTGAGTTTCAGGACCTACTTTATGGCCTCCATATTCCCGTGGGGAAATTTCAAACGAATCGATACACCCATTTCGGAGAATACTTTCCCGAAGGATTTGACTTCTCAGATACATATATAGGCTGACTCTTTCATATCACCTTAAGGAGGCAACCTGGGGTCCGAAGTCGTTTTGAAAAATGAACCCGGTGGGGAATTCTTAGCCGAAACCGAGGGGTTGAATCCGACCACCCCCGAATTCCCGGGCACACCTACGGGATTCCCTTTAACCCGCGGTATCTCCGGCGCGCGGGGGCGGAGAACGAGGATAAGGGAGGGAGAGAGAGGCATAAAGAGAGGGTGCTTTACCGCATCGTCCGAGGGGTTAAGGTTTGCGGGCCAAGTGGGAGTCCTGAGGGATACTCGCCCCAGGGAGAGGGCTGCGGACACGCGGAACGGGCTCGCGAAACTTTCGTCCAGGGCCGAAATTATTCGGTTTTGGGTCAGTAAACGCGCGGATTGGAGGCTGTTCAAACAGGAGCAACCCCTCATACCGGAGCCCTCTCCCGAGGGAGGGGAATCGCTAGGAGGAGACTCGGGAAATGCTAATGCATCCCCTAGCGTGGTGGATATCCGGGGGTGGGTCTCGTCCGACTCGGAAACCCGGAAACCATCCCCGAACTTTTCGCCCGGGCTAACTTTCCTGCGGGAAACGACGTTTCCCGACCGACCTGGACGCGTCCCCTTTCCCGAGGGATGCACGCGCCCGGGAAGGGACGCTTTGCCTATCCGGAATCGAGCCTTCCCACCCTGAGCCTCTCTTCCCGAGGGACCTGATCGAATCCGGACTGATAACGCGCTATATCGCTTCCCGATAGAATTCATCCCCTTTATCCTGTGTTCCTTCGTTCCAGGCGAAAAATGGCGGCGTCGCTATGGTGCCCTTTTATACGTACTTCATAACCTGCAACAACACTGCCACGATTCGGGACGTGATAGGTGAGTTGACTTTGCACCGATAAGGAACTACCCCCCAGGGGGTCCCGTGGGATGGAAATCATGAAATCCCTTGCTCTTTCTTTCAGCGCACATTAATCACATTCGGAAGGTAGCGGGCATCGATCATGTCGGGATAGGAGCGGGATTCGACGGGATCAACTTGTAAGTACGTCCGCGTATCCCTAGGGATACCCCCTGCGTTAAGAAAAAATCATTTCTTCGCAATGGACATTTCTTCAGAATGGCGATGATTAATTTGGGTTACATAATTATCCTTTTAATTAAAGGATAAAAATATTTCTTTGGTTAAGTGGATTTTTTTTCTTTTTTTTTTCTTTCTTTAATGTGATAAGGGGAGGAATTATTTCTCTGGGGAATTATTCCCCTTCGTTTACTGGAGGATTTGCGATTTTTAGCACGCCGACCGGCCTCGAGGACGTCTCCAGGTATCCCCAGCTCCTGGCCACGCTCCTGGAGGACCCCACCTGGACCGAGGAGGACATCAAGAAGCTCGCGGGACTCAATCTGCTGAGGGTCTTCGCTAAAGTAGAACAGGTGAATTCATTCGAAAATTACTTCCCGAGGGATCCCCCCATCTCGCGCGGGAAAATGCCTCCTGTTAATACGAGAGGTCCTGAATTTTTTACGGGAATTCCGAATCCTCGCCAAGTTCCGTCCTGCGTCCAGGAAATGACTAGGCTCTCCAGCCTTTGCGGATTAAATGCGTGGCTCTTTTAATCCCGTGGGAATTCTTTTTTACCTTGGAATAAAAAGTCCTCCCACGTAATCCTCGAGGCGGCGATTCGTTATCGGGATTTTCAGGAAAATCTGCGCCATAAGCAGATCCCTCGGGACGAAAAATGACGGTTTCGCGGCAGGAAATGGCGGAGTGTCAAAGGATATAATCGACAGCCTGGTCAATCTATTTCGGGTTGAGGTAGGTCCGGGACAGCGGCCCCGCGGATCCCGGACCTGCTCAATTTTTCTCGTCCTTTATTATTTCCCCCTCGCATATCACTCGCCGTCGAATTAACGTAGATAATTAAAATTAACGTAGATCATTAAAATTAACGTAGATCATTAAAATTAACGTAGATCGTTAGAATTAACGTAGATCATTTTCCCGATTTCTGGTGAATAACCGAAGGGTTAAATGTCCTTTCCGCTATTTTCTGATCCTGACAGATCAGGGACGAGTGGCAGAAAGCAGCGGTTCCTCCCGTGGAGAAGATCAGTCCTCCGGACAATTCCGCGTGCTCCTACGGAGTGTCCTGATCCACTTTAAGGACCCTCACGCCAGGATTCCTCGACTGGGCCAGATCGCCGAAAATCAGACACGTAGCTCACGCCGGAAGGACCCTCTGAAGCCCAGGAGAAGAAGGACTCCGATTCGCCGAAGGACTCCGAAATCACCGGCCCACCTCGCAGGACATCCCCCGAGCTTCTCTCCGGGAATTCGACGTATAGAATAATAATTTCATTAATCGCGAATCATCCGAACGAGCGATGGGATTTCTATTTAATGAAATTCCAAAGGACGAATCGCGGATCCTTTGAACGGGTCTTAGGGTGTTTTCTCGCCGATTTTTACTAATCGCACCGTTAATCGATCACCGTAAATCGAACCGCACGCATCGAGCGCGCACTGCGGCGGGTCTACCGTTAAAAAAGAACGCCAACAAAAGGGATTAACAATGAACATGTCAAAAGGAAACGTCGAAATTCGGTGACCGCGCCGAGTGGGCGCCTCTCACCTACGTCCTAGGCTACACTCTACTAGATAAAGAAAAAGAAAGAAAAGGGGAAAAAAAGGGGGAAGGAAGGGAACTAAGTAAACGCGTAGACGTACAAAGAGGGGGCACGCCGGCATCCTAGGGTAGGATGACACCCCTTTCGATTTTTCACCGAGTGGTCGCTCGTCACCGGGGGGTCTTTTCCCCCCGATCCAATCGCGACGTATAACCACTAAGGAATCCTTTTTACTAGACATTTCGGGTCGCTCGATAGGACTAACCATTAGGACTAATCACTGATTTCGAGTCTCGGGGAGGACCTTTTTCTCGCCCTCTCAAGGAGCCCTCCACCTCCCGGAGGGTTATTTTCACCCGGAGTTAGGTATACACGCGATATCCGTTATCATGTACTCCGAGTACTCGGGGGGTGAGGGGGCTCCTCCTTTAGAGAGGCCCGTCATTTTGAAATGATTTTACCAGTCGAGGCGCTTTAGCGCGATCGAGGCGGAACTTAAAGTAATTAATCGATGACGACGTCAGATAATCATTAGAGGGGGCGAACGCGGTATAAGGGGGAGGCGACGTTTCCGTTGCGTATCGCCAGAAGTACTTTTCTCTCCCCCAAGGGTGGTCTTTACAATTCAGTGCCAAAACCAGAGGGGGGGCTCCCGCCCCTGGGGTCGTGGGGGGAGGCTCGAGTTTTCTCCCAAGCTCAAAGCTCATATTTTCACGGGAACTCGTGTTCACTTTTTTTAAACGGCGGAAACATACGACTCAAGCGTAGGCCAGTAGAACTTTTCTAAGGACACCGGAAACGCTGGGGGCGACACCCCCCGCCCCCCGCCCCCCAACCCCTTAGGGGGCAGCGACGCGACATACAACTGTGCTTAGATCTCAGAAGTTAATTAACTGTAACTATACAATGTCCAAACGCACAAATGGGCATGTTTGGAGACACGTACGGACTGTAAATAGATATAAATAGGACACGTTATCGCGAGGACGAGGATCGGCGTTCGGAAATCCCGTTGGTAGAATGGCAGGTCCTTGGAAGGGATCTTCTTTATCTCTTCCTTGGGGCTGGATAAGTCGTTATCAACGGGATCCGGGGATTAACGAGAGAACAGGCGGGGGACGATGCACGGCGACTACATAGAAAGTTTTAATAAGTAATTATTAACGAGGATTACTGGGAAAAGAGGGACTATCGATACTCTTTACTGTAAGGATACCTAGCGAATGGCGCACCGGAGACACACACACCGTTTATACGTATTCGTGGATAGACGCACTCGACTCTATGAAATATCGTACTCGCGTGTCAAATGCGTATGTCTGTTCGCATAAGACTCGCTACTATCTCCTATATGAGAGAAATGGACAGCCGCTTCCCTTCGGCGTCGTACAGAGAGGCTTACCAAGGACGTTTTCATTTTACCGATAACCGATAGCGCTCGAATTATCATTAGCAATATCCTTATCGGAACTTCCCCCTGTCTCTTCACATTTGATATATATATTTTTTCTTTTTTTTTTTCACGGTGTTCCGCACAAGGAGGCTGAACATTTAATTCGATGATAACTAAGGACGTTTTCATTTTACCGATACCGATAACGCTCGAATTATCATCAGCAATATCCTTATCGGAACTTCCCTCTGTCTCTTCACATTTGATATATTTTTTTTTTCTTTTTTTTTTCGCGGTGTTCCGTGCAAGGAGGCTGAACATTTAATTCGATGATAATCAAGGGCGTTTTCATTTTACCGATACCGATAACGCTTGAATTATCATTAGCAATATACTTATCGGAACTTCCCTCTGTCTCTTCACATTTGATATATATTTTTTTCTTTTTTTTTTTTACGGTGTCCCGCGCAAGGAGGCCGAACATTTAATTCGATAAGGTGATACGAAAGGGTCATTCGATCCGTATCAAAACCTGAAAATAATCATATAACTATTCCCTGCCGAATATAATTTGAAAATGAAGGTCCTGAAACTCGGGAGATGTGAATTTTCGAGGGGAAAAAAAAGGAAAAAGAAATACTCCTCTTCCTTTGTTCCCATCCGGAGTAAATGCAGAATGTATTTTAATTTAATTTAAATATTTAATTTCAAATTAAATATTTTAATTTAAAAGTGGGGATTTTTCGAGTTTCAAGACCTCCGTGATTATGAGCTAATGATTGGAATTATTCGGCCCACTGTGCGGAGGAGTCTTATCAATATTTCGGCATTTTTGGTACATATACATTTTCGTAAGACCTTGGATCCTTAACTCTGTACACGCGGGGGGAGGTGTCTATCTATCGAGAGGAATCGGTAAGACGTAATTGAAATGTATGGAAAAGGGATTCTCGTGGAGGACTTCGAGACGAGGACGAGACTCGGATTACGCGGCGGAGACTCAAGGTGGACGCGTAGTGATAAAGAGCATTATTTAACGAGATTTACAACGTAGAGAGCGAGGTATCGTTAGAGAACTTGTATAATACTAAGTTTAGAGCTCTTCAGTTATCGTTTGATGTTAGGGGACCGAGTAACGTCGAGGGTGATAAGTAATCTCTATCGCGTTAAACTCGTAATCGCAATTCGCGAGGAGAGAGAGAGAGAGAGCGCCGAAATCGGATCGCCGTTGAGAATTTCATGCGATGGATAATTAGCCGAGGATTAATTGACGACTCTTCGAAATATCGATCTTGCACTGCCTAACGATAGTCGGCTCGTACTTCCCTCGGCCGGTGAATCAAAAAAAGGACACCGGGCCGGGGTCCTTACTTCTCGTTTAGCGAGTACAGTGGTTATTAGGGAGGTTTATAAAAATTAATCCCGCTCCAAATCCGCGGGGATTCGCAACGACGGCGGTTTTAAAACTCTGTTTAACTAGACGACATTGCTGGAACAATGATTTGTACGCCTTCTATGAAGGAACTTAGTATATTACGTTACCTAATACTCGTAAGCACATTATCTGAATAAATATTATTTACAAGAAAGGTGGATGTCCTCCGTCGAGTTGGTTCGTTCTCCGATCCTTAGAATAGATTTAGGAGATTTAGGAAAATTTGGGAAATTTACAGCGGGGCCGAGAAGGACGAGGCGAAGGAAGGACAGGTAACGATTAGGAAGAAATTAAGGAGGAGTGATAAAAATGAATAGCAGGGAATTTTGCAGGATGCCGGGTTATATACCATATTTCATTGTTATCGACTGCCAGGACGTAACGCGATGATAAATGTCCCGAAATTTCAGGACTCGCCTAATGAAAATCGATCCTTTTTGGCGGCGAGAAATCCACGGTAATTCATAATCCATCCCGTTAATTCGTTCGCAAACTTTCCCATTCGATACCTGAAATGCGAAAATAATTACCGATTAATTTTAAAAAGGATCCAGGAAAGGAGACATAATCCTTCACTAATTGTCCTCGTGTGGCGTAGAATGGAGACTGCATGAATTCGTTCGCAAACCTTTCCCAATTCGATATCTAAAATGCGAAAATAATTACCAATTAATATTAAATCCCATTCGATATCTAAAATGCGAAAATAATTACCGATTAATATTAAATCCTATTCGTTATCTAAAATGCGAAAATAATTACCGATTAATATTAAAAAGGATCCAGGAAGGATTCCCCTGTCCATTTCCGGCCTCCAGGAGGACGGAGCGGATCTATCCCGGAAATCCCGAGATTCTTCATTCCAGGGAAAGGAGACATAATCCTTCACTAATTGTCCTCGTGTGGCGTAGAATGGAGACTGCATGAATTTTGAAAGGGGTCCCTAACGAGAGGAGAGGAGGTGGGAAGGATTCGGAGCGGAAAACACACACATCGATCTGGCCCCGCGCATGCGCAATGCGGGAGCAAGGAGAGGGCAAAACGGGAGCACCGGTGTCCACCCCCGAGCGGGATGTGGACCAACAGGTGAGACGGAAGAGGCACTCCCTTTGACGAGCATCCCTTGTCCACCCTGGACCACTTGGCTCGTCCTGGCTGATCTGGACCGGCAGGACCTCGCATCCTCTGGGGCCCGAAGAAAAGTCCCGGAACCCTGGTGCATCCCTTATCCCGGAATCCCCTTTCGCACCCCGCGAGGAGGGGTGGAAAATGGGGGCCAATGGCCGAAATGTCGATAATTATTTGGGATATCACTCGCCGGCGAGACTCAGTGATAGTGCTCCTGTGATCCTTGCGAATCGATAGGGAGTCGATATTAATTTTTCCATATTTTTTTTTTTTTAATAATCACGGAAAGGAGGGATTCCTTGAGACTGAAGAAGTGAAACTCGAGAGAAGTGCCGGGGACTCTTCCTGTTCCCAGGACTCTATCTCTAAGGAGGAGAGGTCTCTCCGGGTCCTCCGGGATGCTGGGCGGCAAAGTGCGGGAAAACGGGAGTGAAAAAGGATTTGGAAGTCCTGCAGGAAGCGTGCTCGACCGTCCAAGGGCTCCTGCGGTTCTTCGGTGAATTTCCTTTGTTCCCGTCCCCGGTGGAATCGATACCTGGAGGATCCTCCGGGACGCCGATCGGCGAGATGCGAGGAGGAAGTAAGTGAATTTAATTATCGGGAACGGTCCCAGGACTCCCGGGATACGTCGAAAGGTCCTCGGGACCGTTCGGCGGATGCCGAGTGGTTTTTCCCTTAGGAAGAATCGATACTTTGATATCGAGGACCAGGGAGGGGAGCGTGCCAGATTTATCGAGACAATGCCGGGGATTTGTCCCGAGGTCCCGAAATTGCGGTTCGAGGAGGAACCGAGGAGGAACGAATCCCCAACCCCGCGAGCTCTTATCGATAAGTCGTAATCGATAGATCCGTCATGAAGATCCCGGGGAGCGGAGCGCCCAGAGTGGAGGCCACGTGGGCGCTGACACCTGTCAAAAGAGAGAGCCACGACTCGAGGAGGACCTCCCGAGGGAAAATTCGGGAAGAGGTGCCTTCCCCTCGCGATGCCCGGAATTCCCCTCGGAGGAGCTCGTCTCCCTTCCGGGCTGAGCGGCATAATTAGGTCGATTCAAAGTCGATCGATCGAAAGCCAATGCGAGATTGCCGGGATGGGAATTCCTCGGAGCTGTGACTACCGCGACGGACAGGTTAGAGAAATCTGAGAAATTTCTGAAATTTCCGATATTCCCCGTTAAATATACTGCAGAGGGGGGACGCTTTCATGGGAAAGAGTGAAAAGCGGGCTTGATCGATCCCGAGGGACAGGATGCCCCAGGGAAGCGTGCACTGGCAGGGAACCCAGAGGAGGGCCTGCGGCCCTGGAGCGCACTGGAACGTGCAGGTAAACATTGTTATAAAAATTTAAAACGTCGTTTAATTGCGTATAAAAAAAAAAAGAGAAAAGGTGAACACCTCAATCGACAGGTGGTGAGGAGCAAGGTGACGACGCGCTGTCTCTGGCACGCCTGCAAAGCCCTCGGGATAGGCCTTTCCCTGATGCTCCTGGGAGCCTGCATGGCCACCATAGGTGCGTATCGCACCTTCTTATCACTATCGACCGTTCTTGATTTCAATTTCCCCTTCCCCCCTAAATGTTCGACAAACAGGATACTACGCGGACCAGCTCTCGGTGGCCCAGGAAATCCGAGGAAACCTCACCGTCAAGGTGAAGAACGAGACCCGAGGGTTCCACCTGAACAACCTGAGCTACGCGGGGCCCATCGTCATGGGTTTCGGAGGTAAAACCCCCTGGGTGAAAAATAGCCAAGATATAAATATTTAAGAAAAAATATGAAACAATAGATTTCCGAAATTCTCGGGGTTACGGTTCTACTCTTATCGCCGACCCTGAAGAAGGTGCTCGGTGAAGGAATCTTGACAAAGGGGTGCGTAACCGGACTGCGGGAAAAATGTCAATACCGAGGGTGCGTGAGTTAATACACGAATACGAAAAAGAAAAATATTAATATGCCCCCAGAGAGATTTGAACTCTCGACCCCTGGTTTACAAGACCAGTGCTCTAACCCCTGAGCTATGGAGGCTGTCTTCAGGGTCTCCTCTTATCGCTCTATCTTATCGCTCCAATCGAGGTCTCTCTTAGAATCACTGCTGAAATTACTGGAAAAATGTTGGAAATAGGAAAATTTACTTTCAGTTGAAATTTCCAAGCTTCCTTGGGTTTCTTAGGTATTTTTTAAAATTTTTAACCCTGACTATTAAGAGCGCCTATAGGCGCCCGACGTTTGGTCCAATATTGCCTGCACGGTCAGACGAATCTCGCCCATATGTCGAATTGGATCCGGGCTCAAAGGGATAATTTGCTTACAGGATTCATCGTGGTGGCAGCTTGTGTTATGACATTCGAGGCAAGAGACAGCGCAGCCAAGGTAGTGCCTGCTCGATTCCGACACAACCAGAGCACGACCCTGAAGAGCACCTCGAAGAGTCAACGAAGTCGTCGCTCCACGTCGAGCCAAACCACGAGGTGGGACCATCAGTTAGGTCTCTTCCGGGTAAACCGAAGTCCTAGTCCCGGCCGTGAAGTCGCAAGGAAACAGCTGACCGCAGAGTTCGTGAGGTTCTCCAGGTAGAGTTCTCTGATGCATTATATTGACCAGGTACACTGTTAAACAAATTTATAAAATTCATACACTTTTAGTACAGTAGTTCGTGAGGTTCACCAGGTAGAGTTTGTGATGCATTACGTTGCCCAGGTACACTGTTAAAAAAATTCATACACTTTTAGTACAGTAGTTCGTGAGATCTCCAGGTACAGTTTCTGATGCATTATATTGCCTAGGTTCACTGTTAAAAAAATTCATAAAATTCATACACTTTTTAGTGCAGTAATTCGTGAGGTTCTCCAGGTAAAGTTTCTGATGCATTACATTGCCCAGGTACACTGTTAAAAAAATTCATACACTTTTAGTACAATAGTTCGTGAGGTTCTCCAGATAGAGTTCTCTAATGCATTACTCTTAAATTTGCTCTTAAATATTTTAAGGACTTTTATAAATTACCGCAATATTCTCGGTCATACCGCTCGAGCTTAAATTCTAGAGAATTTAAATACCCAATCTCCAGGAGCCTGCACGACCGCACCGGAAGCTGCGCCCTGAAGAAGAGCCCCAGCGCGCCGAGTCTGGTCGAAAAGCGTTCCCCGAGGTCCAGGCCCCCCAAGTACGCAGGATGTGCCCTGTTAAATCCGGAACTCCTCCAGAGACATGCCCTCTCGGTCGACAATCCAGGATACAACCCTCAGGTACGTTTAATTCCAAGTAGGGTAAGAATTTAATTAATTCATTCCCGTACAATTAAAAAAATTCATACACTCCCAGTACATAAGGTTGTACTACAACTATAAATTTCATAAAAGTGAATTAGTATACAATTGTTGCAAACTTCTAAATAAATTTACAATTTTACGATACTATTTTAGAGTTTTGTGAAATTATTACTCTCTTTTCTTTAATAATTTTATTACATACGTGTGTAATAAATGTATAGCACATGTTATATATTTTATTTGAAACCGTGTTATAAAATTAATATATCATGTCTGAATAAAAGTTCCATAAAAAAAGTTATAAAATTCACAGAATTTTTTTTAACCCTAGGCTACTAAGAGCGCTTACAGGCGTCCGACGTTTGGTCCAATATTGCTTGCACGGTCAGACGAATTTCGCCCATATGTCGAACTGGCTCCGTTTTCAAAGGATTAACAGTGTGGACCTAATGATTTAATCCCGGTGTTCTTATCAGGCGAGCAGTCGGGAGAGTCTGGAGAGGCGGAAGATGAGCGGAAGCCAGGCGTCCATGGCGATGGACCTTCACATCCCTAACCGAGGTCCTGTGACCCTGAGAGTAAAGGACCGTTCAGACACCGCGAGGAGGCACCAGCTGTCCAGGCAGGCGAAGATCGAGGACGAGGAGACGGAGCCTCGACGAGGAAGCCACAGCTGTTCGCCGAAGCTCCCAGGATACAGCAGATATCCTGACGACTTCCTCCCGAGGAAGCGGAACTCCGTGGACCTGAAGCTCCTGGAGGAGCTGGACGCCCGGAGGGTGGGTCGGGACTTCAGGAAGGTCTCCTCCCCGAACTTCCGGAAGATGTCCTTGGACAGGATCGGTGGAGAACGAAGGCTGGACCAGCGGACCCCGGTGCCCAGGAAGGCGAGCCTGGAGTCTCGGAAGAGCCCCGACTTCCGGAGGACCGACTACAGGAAGTACTCGATAGAGAGGTTCACCGCCGACTGCGCGAAGTACCTCGTCGACGTCGAGGTCAGGTCCAGGGCGAACAGCGGGGAGAGCAGGAGGTCCAGGCACCCGAAGCTGCACCACTCGAGGTCCGACGACACCAGGAGGAGGTCCTTCGACCGGCACCGGAGGGACTCCCAGTCCAGCAGGTTCTCCTTGAACACCCAGGTAGTATCTTTAAATTCTCGAGAAGATAATAATTTTTAAAATTATTAAAAATTATTGTCGAATGTGATTTTTAAAAAAATCGACTTATGTCATTAAAAAAAAATCGACGTGTCATTTAAAAAAAAATTGACGAATGTCATTGAAAAAAAAATCAACGTATGTCATTTAAAAAAAAATCGACGTCATTAAAAAAAATCGACGCATCATTAAAAAAAATCGACGAATGTCATTAAAAAAAAATCGACGAATGTCATTAAAAAAAAATCGACGAATATCATTTAAAAAAAAATCAACGTATGTCATTTAAAAAAAATCGACGAATGTTATTTAAAAAAAAATCGACGAATGTCATTTAAAAAAAATCCAGTTCCCATAAATGCTCGTCGGTTCCTGGGGAATTTGATCCCTGGTTATAGTCTCATCCTCGGTTGCATTACCCGGGTAATAACGTATTAAAAATCCCACTTTCAGGCCGTCCTGGAGGGATGCGGACCGGAATATGAATTAAAGTATTTCGCCACGGCGTCTCTGGACACCGAGGAGAGCAGGGCCGAGAATTCGGACGACAGCCACGTGGTGGAGGTCGAGGACGTCGCGGGTCACTCCTCGGAAGGCCCTGCAGAGAACGACGCCCTCCTGGAGGAGCCAGAGCTGGAGAACCTGACGGAGGTCGAGGTAGAGACGACCGAAGCGAACTTGGAGAGACCCGAGAGTGAAACCGCGAGTCCTGGAGCTTCCTCTGGAGCGGAAGAAGTAGAGGCCCCCTGGGACCAGGATCTTCCAGACCCTGAAGAAAACCCGGAAAATCCCCGAGATAACGTGACCTCCAAAAAATCCTCCGGTGCCGACGAAGAACGTCCCGAGACTATCCTGGAATAAAATGCAGGAGCTAAGACACCCTGGAGGAATCATCCTCTATAAAACTGACCAGGAAGGTACCTCATCCTCACTTTGTTAACGTAAAATCATGAATGAAAAGTTTCCTCAGGAGATATCACTCCTTTATATATATTCATTTCTCCAGGAATGGAAAGGATATTCCAGAGGAAGAGCGAGGAGGGAACGCCCGGAGGATTCCTTCGACCCTGAAGAGGATGGACCTGGCGACGAGCTTCGAGAATGCTAACCTAAGATATCGACCGAGCGAGGTCTCGCGGTCTCTGGGTTTTCTCCTCTTTTAATTCATTGTTTATCCGGGATTCTTCCGGTTATCGGCCTCTTTTCGGGCATCTCTATCTTCGCGAGGCCTCGCTCCGATGTTGATAGCGTTGCGTTGATAGGGATTTTTTATACCGCGTTTTGCATCTCCCACTTGGAGGAACTCTACGCTTTTCGCATTTCTGACAATCCTAGGAGCCTATCGACCCTATCGCCGATAAGAGATCGAACCTCGAGGGACGGATCGCTTCCAGCGATTCCATTAGCGCCTCCACTATGGAAAGGATCGGTCCCCCGGAAATCTCCAATCGATACACCAATTGATCTCCAATTGATTGATTGATTATTGATTGACACTCTATTTCCGATCCACGACTGACGGCAGCGAGGTCATTATTTCGAATTGCGTTTTGTAACGAGACAATCACCTTTCCTATCCGATCGCCGCGAGACTATCCAGGTCGATCGCGTTATCGCTGTCGATCGTACCATATCAGTCACTGATAACCACCCCGATCTAAGACTTCGACGGTTCCTCGGGACTTTAACGAACGGCCTAGGGAATTAATGAAAAAAAAAAAAACGACCGAGCTCGGAGACTCTCTTTATAAAAATCGATTACACGTCAAATTTGCACTTTTATCCGGAAACAGGAAGGCAAAGAATAAGATTAGAAGAGCCTCGAGATTCGGCCGCGAAGAATGGGTAGCCGGGAACCGTTATCGTGTTATCTCCTTGAGAATTAATTCCGGTGTAAATATATTTTTGTATCCCGTGGTGGCTCTCCGAAGTGGAAATAAAAAAGAAAGGACAGGAAGAAAAGAGAGAAAAGGAAGAAAAAGAGGAAGATAGACACGTAGAAGGTAGCGCCGGTAGATTGATGTCTTGCCGTGAGTGTCGTTCTCGTTGTTGCCGTTTTCAACCGATAAAGGAAGGGAAAAGGAAATAAGAGGAGAAGAGGAGAGACCGTTTCCCACTTCCTCGAGGGTTCCGCGAATCTACGCGATGTAAATATCCAAGTGTTATCGTCGATTTGTAACGTTGCACTTATACTGTACGAGTTCCTCGCGCAAATGTACTTGGCTCGAAACTCTACCGAGTTTCTTGATATCGTCCCCTCGCCCCGAGGGGAATTTACTCGAACCGAGGGAAAACATAATCGAACTGTGATCGAATTGTACGTTACTATATTAGGGGGCTCGGAAAGGCCCTTAAAGATTAACCCCGCGAATGATAAGGGCGGAATGCCTGGTATCGCGGCAATTACTTCGTTGTCAAACTCCTGATATGTAATCTTTGCATGCTGGCTGTTGTGAGACGTCAATAAAAAGGGACGATGAAAACGTTAAGGTGATGTGAAACTCCTCGAGGAACTTTATCGACGTTGGTAAAGAAGACTTATCTAAATACCTACGTTGCCGACGCTCGTTTTTATATCGACCAGCTGTGTCGAATTATATTGGGTGTCTCCGTGCCACCTCCTCGGATGTCCTATGATCCTGGTAGAAATCGAAAATTTCGACCCCTAAAATTTTTGCCCGGGAGGAACTCTGTGCCACCTCCTCGGTTGTCCTATGTTCCTGTTAGAAATCGGAAATTTCAACCCCTGAAATTTTTACCCGGGAGAAACTTCGTGCCACCTCCTCGGTTCTCCTATGATCCTGTTAGAAATTGGAAATTTCAACCTCTAAAATTTTTGCCCGGGAGAAACTCCGTGCCACCTCCTCGGTTGTCCTATGATCCTGTTCCACCTCTGGCGCTTTCTAACAGGATCATAGAATAACCGAGGAGGTGGCACGGAGTTTCTCCCGGGCAAAAATTTCAGGGATTGAAATTTTTGATTTCTACCAGGATCATAGGACAACCGAGGAGGTGGCACGGAGTTTCTCCCGGGCAAAAATTTCAGAGGTTGAAATTTTCGATTTCTAACAGGATCATAGGATAACCGAGGAAGTGGCACCGGTTTCCTGAGCAAAAATTCTAAGAGCAGAAATTTTCGACTTATAACAGGAACATAGGACAACCGAGGAGGTGGCACTTAGGTGGACTTTCAAGGATCAGGAATAGGCGATTAGAGGATTCTCTAGCCATGCCCGTCTAATTAAACGTACTCATTGTCATCATTTAATATCTCCCTTTATTACACTAACAATTGTACAATCTATTATACAAGTGTCGCAAGTACATGAGTTCCTGAGCTCGTTCAAGTTGTCCAGTCTTGTCATTAAATCCATCGTCATTAATAGTCATTAAACCCATCATTGTCTAAACCGGGCACTCGACCATGCGCTCGAGAAGCCTCTTACCAGGCGTTCAGGTGCATGTACCTGGTACCTTTCCATTTAAGACTCCTCGTACACACTGAATACACTTGTACAAAGCGACCGGATACCCTTTTCCCAGCCACCCGTTCTCGTTCCAGGGCATTCCGGGCACCGGGCACCCGTGTGTTCGGGCACCTACCGCGAGGTCTCGCGTCGATCGCCGATGAGATCACCGCATTTTACGGCGGCAGGTGTTCCGGGCAGGTGGAGGCGTCCGCGCGACAAAGAGGGACCCTCGGATGGATCCGGGGAATCGGCCGGCCGAGGGAGACGGAGCGAGACCGCGGAGAGAGGAGGACCTCGCGTGCCTCGACTGGCTAGCTCAGTCGTGCCCCGTGCATCGAACTCTTCGGAGCCGGTTCTACGGTCGAGGGTATCCAAGGTTCCAGGATCCGCGACCTCATCGGTGGGACCCCGGAGGAGGGTCCCGCGCTCCCTCGGGATGGCTTCCGATCGCTTCCACAAGTAAGGGCCGACGATAAACTCTAACTGGTCTCGAACCTCGAGAAAGGAGGAAGTCCAGGATACATCGGCTCGACCCACGTAGAGCGACTCTCGTCCCTGGACTCTGGTCCCTCGCCACCTCGACCGGTTCCCTGGCACCTCCACCTGGAAAAAGTAACATTGGTATTTCGTCCAGTCGCGCGCTCCTTCTTCTTTTTTTCTTTTCTTTATACATACGGAATGTCTTTCTCCCCTTTTCTGATATTCCTCCACCCGGTCCCCGGAACCGGATCCAGAAGGAAGGCCACTTTCCAATTGCGTGCCGATGACTTTTCGCCAGGTCGCGCGACCCGGACGCTTTAGGCCCCGTTCGCACGCTCGGGATTTCTCGGCGGAGAGGTGGGAGGAAGAGGAAAGAGAAATATATATATATATGGAAGAAATATATATATATATATATATATATAATTGGAGGGCTACGATTCCCCGAGGAAGCGGGAGCCCTTGTAGGGGTCGCGATCGATGCGGAACTCTCCAGGTGGAGGGAAGCCAGGTTTTTGCCAAGGGTGGCCGAGGTACCGAGGGGCCGCAATCGTTACGTAGGGTTTAGGGTCGTCCAGGTGTGAATTCGCCGAATGACGAGCGAGGGGGAGAAAAGTACGGAAAGGAGTCCTGCTGTCGCGACAGGTGCCGGTCCTATTGTCTCTGCCGATGGAGCACCGTGAACTCGAGTTCCCATAATTCGGCGAGATCCCCGAGGTCGCTCCTTTTCGCCAAGGGCATCCTTCGGAGAGAGGATCTCGCCCTGGTGGGGAAACAGGTTGCAGGACCTCCTCTCGTCTCTTCTTTCTTCATGCTTGTCCGTTCTAACGTGGCGAGTCCTGGATCCTCCAGGAGGATCGAGATCCGCAGAGAGAGGGACTCAAGGATGAACTTTAATCCCGGCCGACCTTGGTCCTGGACGTGAGAAACGACCTCGTATCTCCTTCACTCCTCGAGGTTTATTCTCCTTTGTACTTCTGCCCTTCCTTCCTCTCCGCTTGCATACCTCGCCGTGTCTGCAAAATCCTACAATAATTTCATCCAATTTATACACAAACTTATTATTTATTATTATTTATTATTTAGATATTCACAAATAGAAAAACAATAGTTTAATTAAACGGAGGAAAATGTTTAACCTTTTGTCTACTAAGAGTGCCTAAAGGCGCCCGACGTTTGGTCCAATATGGCCTGCACGGTCAGACGAATTTCGCCCATATGTCGAAATGGCTCGTGTTTAAAGGGTTAAATTAAGGTAAGACAATGGCTCTCAGGTCGGCGCGCGGCGAAGTGACTCTCTCTCTCTTGCGGAATTATATTCCGAGATAATTAGTGCAAATCCGAGTAATCAGATCGAGGAAGTGGCAAATCGTGCCGGAGCTTTCCCGGAGGTAATCGGAGCGGACCCAGAAGAGACGGCGAGGCGCCCCTTTAAACGTCAGAATCAGCTGATCAGCGCCAGAGTCCCCAAGGGAGGACGAAAGAGACGCTGATTACTAATCACTCCTTTAAACGTCAAAATCAGCTGATCGGCGCTCCTGTAAACGTCATAATCAGCTGATCAGCGCCAGAATCCCCAAGGGAGGACGAAAGAGTCGCTGATTACTAATCACTCCTTTAAACGTCAAAATCAGCTGATCGGCGCTCCTTTAAACGTCAGAATCAGCTGATCAGTGCCAGGGTCCCCAAGGTAGGACGAAAGAGACGATGATTACTAATCGCTCCTTTAAACGTCAAAATCAGCTGATCAGTGCCAGGGTCCCCAAGGTAGGACGAAAGAGACGATTATCCCTAATTTCTACCTTTCCAGGGCAGCTCGCGAGGACGCGGTGTGGATCCTTCACGAGGCAACGAAGAAGGACTCCAATGCGAAGGACGAGCTGGGAATGACGCCGACGCTCTGGGCGGCTTATGCAGGACGCGTCGAGGCGCTGACGGTCCTCATCGCGAAAGGGTAGGTAGATCTTCCCGGAGAAGATCACTCCTGGCCTCTAAAAAAAATCCTCGATGACGTCCGGACGAGGGGACAAATACGGATACCCGACCGGACGCACAGGACGCAGGCCGACACTTATTATTAACCCTGCAGGAAGGAAATCGGGGGGAGAGGGGGGTCGGAAACAATCAGCCAGGCAACAAAGTGGAACCGAACAAAGGGGAACGATCGGTCGCGGTTATTCGATGATACCAAATCTACGGCGACCCTGCAGACGTTGTTTCTGGTTCGATCCTCCCAGGGGGGTGTCTTCGGCGCCGAGGACCCTGCAACTAATGAGAACCGATGAACGATTTCAGGGGCGACCCGGAGAAGACCGACAACTTCGGGAACACGGCCCTCCACCTGGCGGCAGGTAGGGGCCACGAGTATTGCGTGCAGTACCTGGTGAAGCTCGGCTGCAACATCTGGGCCCTGGACATCGACCGGCACTCGGCGTGTCAGCTAGCCTCGATAAACGGCCGGGAGAGGATCCGCCAGTTCCTGGACATGGCGCAGACCCACCAGGAGTTGCAGAACCGGAAGCGAGCGAAGATGCAGCGCGAGAGGGCGGAGAAAGACGCTGAAAAAAGGTACGAGATACAAGACGTGATCGATACCAATGGTCTGACTCCACTTGCGCTGGGAAGACGTCGGGACGTCTTTGATAAAAAGCCGCCAAAGATAACAATAAGCGTCTCGCGGCGAGATAAAGTAGTTGGAAGTGGTTGGCAATATATCAGTTAGCAGCGCAAGTGGTTAAGTCGGGACTTAACTGGGTTCCCCAGGTTGAAGGAGTACATGAAACGCGAGCGGGACGAGGAGATCAAGGCGGAGAAGGAGCTGAAGAGGCTGCTGAAGGACCGGGCGAAGCTGGACGAGGGCTCGAATCGGTCCGGGGTTCTGCCGCACCGGCCGAGCATCCTGACGTTCAAGGGTAGAGTGAAACCCTCGCCGACCTTCAGCGACATCGTCGGCACGGCGACGAAGAGGCACGGCAGCGCAGTGGGCAGGAAGGCGATGGCCAGGAAGGCCCTGGACGATTTCAAGGTCGTCGAGGTAAGTGTCCAGCACCTGAAAAATAAGTCAGAAGGGTTAGCAAGGATAGTCACGAAGAGCGAGGGGAAGACGGGGTGGAATCCCCCGTTCTTCGAGGAAAGGAAAAAGAACGAGGACCTAGATTACCGTATTTCAAAGGTCGAGGTCGACGGCAAGAGGTCGGTGCGCAGTCTGACCGGCTTCAGGAGGGACTCCGAGGTGATGTACGTAGGGACGTACGAGACCCAGGCCCAGCAGCAGGGCAGAAGAGGGCGCGTCTCGGACGTCTGGGGTACCCTGGGCAAGGCACAGAGCACTCCGGACCTCCTGGGGGACCGAGGCTTCTCCGAGGAGGAGGAAGAGGACCCGGAGGACGAGGAGATCGAGCCGAGGATCGCGGAGGGCTCGATCCTGCTCCAGGAACCGACCAGCATCTTCGCCCCAGGGTTTGGATCCGTGGCCTTCCGGCGATCGGTGTGTACCTAACGCAATCTCAGGTACATCCTTAAGGTCGACCATTACCGCCTGGTTTCCTGGTTCCCCAGGCATCGACGACTCTGGACACCCTGCCGATGACTCAGGTGGACGTGCACAGGCAGAGTCTCGGGGGCTTCGAGGGCTCGACCAACGGGTCCATCAATGGGCTCCGGAAAAGCACGAACGGCCTGAACGAAGAGGTCAGCATCGGGAGTGCCGGGAGTCTGGCCAGGAGGCAGAGCATCTGGGAGGACGACCCACCCTCCGGTAAGCGGTCCACGTGCCCTGGAGCCATTTGAATCCCCTAAAACCGAGTAGAGATTAAAATCGAGCGATCGCCCCCAGACGACGAGGAGGAGACCGACGAGGAGTGGACGCCCCTGCAGAGGTTCCTCGCGGCGAACAATCTCACCTCGATCCAGAGCATCCTGGAAGCCGAGCAGATCGACCTGGAGGCTCTTATGCTGTTGACCGAGGCCGACGTGGGGGCCTTGAAGCTGCCTCTAGGACCCAGGAGAAAACTCACCAACGCCATCGCCAACAGGAAGAAGGCCCTGGAGGCTCCGGAGACCGTCATCAGGGACAGCAGGCTCTAGGATGGGCCTCCAGGTTAAATTTCCTCGAGGCCGAGCTCGGTCCTCCGGGGAAGATCCGCGCCGTCCGAACTGCAGGAGGTACCGGAGAACCTGACCTGGTTCCCGTCTCTCTTCAAGTGCCTAAAACCTACGATTAAATTGTACATACATTATTATAATAAATCCAAGTGCATCTCACAGAGCCAGGGGTATCAGCATCTCCTCTTCCTCGACGTAAGGTGAGACTCTCGGGGAAGATTCGCCCTCTCTCAAGGGTGGGCACCAGGGGTTCAACTCCGTCCAACCACCGTATCGTTTTTCCTCGCAGTGTTTATTTGTAAATGATTATCATACAAACAAGAGACGCAAAAAATATACAAGCTTCTTGTGTGTCGCAAAAAAAAAATAACAGCACCATCTTCGTATTCCTCCGCGCGACGCGAGGCGTCCCCTCGGTGGCCGCCCCTAACCTCCTCCCTGGTCGCCCTTATCACCCCCGTGCCTTATCACGAGCCCTATTGCCTCCTGTCCGCAATCCTCGCGCGGTGCGTCCCTTCCTCGAGTCCTAAAACCGTCGCGAACAAAAAGGACCCCAGGGGGGGGGGGGAAGGTGTCTCGTCCTCTTTCTCCCGAATTTCTCCAGATCACAAAAGATCCCCCAAAAAAAGGTACAACAAAATTCCCTAAACCCTTCCCGAATTGGACAAAAAAAAAGAAACAAAAATCAGTCCACGGGGGACTGGTCGAAAAAGAGGGGACAGCTTTTTTGGGAATTTTTCCGGAAAAGGGAAAAGAATAGAAAAAAGAGGAAATCCCCTCCCCCCTCCCCTGAGAAAATCCACGATGAAGGGAAAGAGCCGAGAACGGCGTGACGATACGAGGGTAAATGGGAAAAGTAGGAAGAGAGAGAAAAAAAAAAGAGAGAGAGAGAGAGAGAAAAACAACAACAACAGGGAGTTAAGCAAAAACGTGTGTACGTGTATACGTGTATATCGCCGACCGTAAAAAATACCTCGAGACGCGTGGCTTGGCAGAGAAAATCACCGAAATTTTCGCCGGCTCTTTTTTTATTTTTTATTTTCTTTTTTTTCTCATTTTCATTTTCATTTTCTTCCCACCCCCTCCCCACGGGGTAAAGTCACGGTGGCGGTTTTCGGTGATCTTCCCTGCGACGTGCCGCCCCTTGGTTTCGCCTTTTCTCTTTTTTTTCTTTTTCTTTCGTTTCTTCTTCTTCGCATTTCCCTTTTTCTTCCTTTACGCCCGTTTAATGTTCGCCCTTGGCTTTTCCATTCGGAGCCGCGGATTCCTCTCCGGGGTGCGACATTATCAGCGAGAGGAAATTGAAAATCCTCGCAGAAGGTCGAGCGGTCGAAAAGTTAGGAGATCCTAGTTCTCTCTTCTTTCTATCTTTTCCTTTTTTTTCTAGGAAAAAAAAAACCGGGAGGGGGGAAACGATTTAAATCGATCGAACGACGCGCGAACGATGGGAGACCTTCGATAGAGAAAAAGAAAAATATATATATATAAAAATTAAAAAAAAAAAAGGTAACAAAAAGAAAACAAAGAGGTCATCGAATCGATACCGAGGACTACGATTGCAACCGCGAGGTCTCCTTGAAATTTCGGATCTTAGAGATCGTACCAGCCGTCAGGACCTTCCTACCTCGCCCTTTCCGTTTTCCCTTTTTTCCCCTTCCTTTTTCGGTCCATCTCTAAGTGGATTAACGAGTAGACAATGCAATAAACAATTTCCCTCCGGTTAGCCGGATTACAGAACGACGGGAAGACGAGCTTAAGAGTCGAGAAAAACGCGACGAGAGGACGCACTCTATCCCCGGAGGTTTTCCTCCCTTTCCTTCCTCCTCTCTCTCTTTTCTTTCCTTTTTTCCTCGTTTTCCGACATTTTCCCCTCCTCGCCGGGGCGTAAAACACAAAGAACGGCTTCCTCGTAATTTCCCTTCGTCCCAACGCGCCGACCGGTCGTTCTCTCCCTCCTTCTTTTAATAGGATCGATAAATAGAGCGCGATTAAAGCTATCGAATAGTAATCAATATTAATAGTGATATTAATATTACCGCCAGGGTGGACGGGGGATGGACCTCTTCGGGGGGGGTGTGTCTTTCAACTAAAGCGCGGCGATACGATCGCGGGACACAATACATAGGAGATTCGCACTTTTTCTCAGATTCTACGGAAATTCCGGCTAAGTGGGATACAAAATTGCCTACTAAAAATCGATTAAAATAAGGGGAGGGGGGGGGGGCAGTTGACAATTTTAAATAAACCTCCCCGAGCTCGTTTCGCTAAATGAAGGTCATCGGACGTCTCGAATCGCGAACCATGGCCTGGGCCAACATCGCCGATCCTCCCGCCGACCCAGCTGTCATATCCCTAGTACTATCATTAACCGCTTATCGTAATCGACGTACTCGCTATATTTACAAATCAATAACAAACTCCTTGTTAGCTTCCGGAAGGGGGGGAGGGGGGGGGGGTCCGTTTTTCTCGGAAAGTCACGAATATGGGAAAACAAACGAGAATGAAAAATTTGAAAAAAAAAAATAATAAAAAAAAAACAAGAAAAACAATATGTCCACCTTCCGAAGGAGGTCCCGACAGCGAGCCTGTCAATTCTGACAGCTCTTGCTTTCCCTCTTTCTCTCTCTCATTTTCTAGTTACGATTCCGCCCGGTTATCTCTCCCCTTTTGATCCACTAAATTTCTCATTCCTATTCTTCTATTTTTTTCTTTTTTTTTCCTTTTGTGTCCTTATCCGTTCACCTCCTTCGGATCCCAAGTTGGACGCGACTTCTCGACAATCTGCCGTGACCTTCGCACCTCCGAAAATCAATTGCTTCCCGCAAAAGGTAATCGTGGCTTAAACCTAATTTATACAAGGGGCCGCAAAAGTCTACGAAGTCTAGTTTGATAGTCCGAGGTGGTTCACCGGCCATTTCCCAAGAACGCGTTGACAGGGCTGTCACTGTCAACGGGTTTACGCCTTGACGTTCCCTCCACCCCCTTCGACCGTTTCTTTCGCGATTCAGGGTGCTTCGTTACATATTTCTTTTTTTTCCTTTCTCTCTTTTTCCCAAGTATAGAAATTGCCTTTCTATTAATTTGCACACAAAGGAAGCCGTCAAAAAGCAAGGAAGTCAAACAAAGGAGGAAAGTTTACTCGAGTCGAGAGGTGGAGGTACGTTACCTTTCGCAGGGGATGTAATCGATGGTCCTAGTTTTCTCTTAAACGTCACTACGAACTCCACGTGGCTCGATTTCTTATCGAGCTACGTCCATTGGAACATTGGATATAGACTTGACAGTTGCTTGGATGTCATTCGACGGTGGTCGATGCACAACTGTCAATTTCTGTCACCTGACTCGTACGAGTGAGTTTGCTTTTTAATATGTCACTCCGTACATACCCTGCTACCTTTTGGGACGTTTAGATGTGTTTGGAACGTTTCTTTGGTGTTTGCAAGGGCATCCGAGTATCTTGGACACTTCGGATCCAGAGGTCGGCTATATACGTTAAGATGCACTCCGACCAAAAAGAGTCATGGCCTGCTGAGCCGGGAACCACAACGGAGGGCTGAACGATTAGTAATTAACTGATCGACCAATTAATTAATTAATAGGGAACAAAGGGGCGAGTCGCTCTACTTTACACACATAGCGCGCTGTTACATGAAACGCGACCGTTTGTGCGTCGGAGAGCCCATGTCCACGTCGTGGGAGGCGGGTCGTTTGTGGTGTCGAGCGAACTCGCTACTTATGAAGGCAGACAGCTCGGCCTGCCTTCCTGTGCGCCGCGACACCGGTGACCCTGAGGAAAAAAGAGGTTAAGGATTAATCTTTTTCTTCTATTTATCATTCTACAGGAAATAATATTAAATAAAGTGAATTCAGTAGCAAGATTTACCTGACAAGGCGATCGCTTCTCGAAAAGTATGCAGCTCAGGGTCCGTGTCGTCGCAAACTGTCGGAGTCGGCGTGACTACCATACTCGGCGTGGGACTCTGGGAAGGGGGAGAACCGCAGACCATCATACGAGGCTTAGGAGAACTCCTGGAACACCAAAAAGGAGATACTAAACTTTAGCATCTCTTCGCACATCCATTTGGCATTACTTTGCCATTGAAACGCTATCTAATATAATTGCCTGTGAGAATGCGGTCGTGGCGGAGGTGGTTTCCCAGCGAGATACGCCAGGAGATCTTCCCTACGAATCATCCGCCGTTTCTTCCTAGCCCAGTTCATAATTTCTTTGCTGCGCTTCTGCCTTCCCGTTTCTATGCCCAGTTCGCTGCACCTCCGCATCCCGTCCATGGAATCTGTTGAACAGTTAACGCAGGCCTCGCTTAAGATCCACTACCTCCTAAAAATTTATTCCCATCAACCCTAACCTCGACAGACAGAACCTACCTTTGTACAACGACGTAACGGTGCCAGCGGCAGTCTGGAAAGGCAACCAAAGCGAGGCACCCTGCGAGCGATCTGTGAACCGAACACGATCGACCATCAATAACGTAAACAATGTATAAATCCCACCCCTAGATAACACCCCTCCGATCCTGGAATTTCTCTAGCTCGGAGCGAAACATCTATGCCGTTCTCAGCACCTGAGGATCAGGGAATACCCATCGAATCCCTACCCCTGACCACAGGGCGCATATTACCACGTACCAAGTATTTCTAACGTAAGAGGAGATTCTAAAACTTGAGTTGCTGGGACCCTCGAGTGACGAGAACCCAAGAATCGCGCGTCGTGTCTCGAAACCCGATCCGACGTAGAAGGGTGGCTCTCGGGGGCGACAGGTGAAATAAAGGATGCGCACCTTTGTAGAGCTGGGCGATGGCGGAGGCGGTGGTCTGAAAGGTGGTCCAGATCTGCTGGGAGTAGAGCTCCTTCTCGGAGTGTAGCTGGCCCTCGTAATCGGGCTCGGCCTCGATGCCCTCGACGCACTGTTGCTCCCAGTTCGAGTACCAGAGGTCCATTATGGGATCCTCCTCGCTCCTGTCCTCGCTCATATTTCCCCGGGAGTGACTCACCTCGCGGACACCCGTCCTCGCCGACCTGCAGAGACCCGCGAGAATAACCGTGTCCGTGTCCTCGCCGTGCAGCCGCTGCCTCTCGGTGGCCGGGTAGACGAAAGGAGAGGTGACCGAGAGATCTCGCGGTGTGCGCGAGACGAGAGCTCAGGTGGCGGCCATTACGACAAGCGAGATCCCTGACTAGCTCGAGCCGTCCTCGCCAGTCCTCGCACGCACACCCAGAACCACGAACTAGCCACCCAACCTTAGACAAAGAATTCAGAACTCTCCGTAGAAGTCCAGAAGGATAGGGAGGTTCGATGCTCGATAAATAGTACGTTAGCCAACGGATGGCGGCGCTGTAATCGCCTCTCCAGCGCTCTTAAACTTATGGCGATATATAGCGAATTGTATTCTCCATCTTACTCACATACTCGCCTTTCTATAAAACACCTAGTAATTTACTGTAAAGATGCACGTAAATTACCTGGGGTATTTTACTTACCCAACCCTGATCCTATCGGTCCAGGGATTTCGCACTTTCAATTGAAAAGTTCAAAATCGGGGGAATAAACTCGAGTGAGATGAAAGTGCGAGAAGTGAGCACTCTCACGTGACATGCTTGACATGTCGTATGTGGAACAGTTTCTATGCGCGACTGCTGGGCAAGAGAGGCGAAAGTCGAAGCATAGTCACTCTCTTTTAATTTGCAATTTCATGATTTGGCATTAACTTATGGATCGTTTATTTACGTTTGAGGTTAGGGTATGACTTCCCAACAGAGATGTACCCATCCAACCACAAAACTGTATTCGTGCTTGACCACACACCGTATTTCGGTATTTCGACGGAAAGTCCCTTGGAATTTGATTGCTTAAAGAGTCGAGGGCAGAATCTCATTCCACTAGCTCCGATTTGCAAGTCACTATGGACCACCAGCGTAGAATCGTCTATGGAATATTGTCGCATCGTCTGGGATTTATTTCCTACGGGAAAGCTGGTGAGATTTTCATCGTTCATTTATATCTCAGTATCCAATATTTCACAGAAGAATGTATTTCAATAACCTGCTTTCGTAGGTAAGGTTTGTCGTCAGCGACCATGCAGCCCATATACTAAACACGTGGAGTCCCCTGCAACAGAATTTATCTCATGTAAATAATATAAACATATACCTGGAAGTTCTTTTCGTTCGTCGAACGTTACTTAGCTAAAATTTATATGCTTTTATAATTTCTCTTCTTAGATAATGAATGGAATGGCGATAATAGGAGTACCTCCAAGAGCTCACCAGCCCAGCGTGGACTTTTCGGTGATACATGGATTAAGGGTTGCTATCGAAGCCCTTACGGAATGTTCAGAAATCCAGCATGAAAAGAGAACCTCCTTAACGGAGAATGCAAGTAAATTATTAAACAGCGGCAGAGTGATATGTATTACAAGCGCACGCGACAACATCAATATGAAGAGTTTGGAGAATATCTTTTTAAATCAACTCGCACAGCAGAATAAAATAGCTTTGGCTTCGGACCAGTGAGTAAATTCTCTTAGACTTAACAGCTGTATCGAGTTGAGTATTCTAACCCCGATTCATTTGTCACAGTTTAATACCGATACATCATTGTCATCTAGTGATTCTTAATATTTTTCCTAATAACGTGGAATCTCAAGTCACTACGCAGCCACAGAGGGAAGTATGTGTGATTTTTCTAAGAGCAAAGTATACATACACAAATTATATACTAATTCGGAATGTGAAAAAAGGTGTCTCCGCAGTTATCCATGGAAGTGTATTCCATGAAGGCTTCGACGTTACATTCCAAATTGTCACACTTGATCCTGTCACACTACGATCTGGCCAGCACCACGGTGACAGGGATTCCGATGAAGGAAGAGCAAAATGCCAGTTCTTCTGCTAATTACGACGTAGAGATCTTTCACTCTTCCACGGCTCACACAGCCATTTTAAGAGGTAACGGAACGAAGAGCAACTGTCAAATATCCTTAGCCTGGTATTATTTGATTATCAAACAATTCCAGGTAATCCACAAGACTCTGCCCTTATAAAGACTTTTCGAAGGTTCGAAGAAGGCTCAGAATACGAGACGGTGACATTAAAATGGTGTACACCGAGAGGTTGCAGTGCATCAGAGATGCAAAACTGCACCGCGATGCATCGAATAACTCCAGTAGACGTCAACAGCAGGCCCTCCTCCTGCTTAATTAATTTCCTCCTAAACGGTCGCTCGGTCATGCTTGAAATGGCTAGGAAAAGTGGTGGCAAGACAATATCACACCTGTTGGCATCCCACGGTGGAGAAATATTTATACACACCTTGTCGACAGCCAGGAGCGTTCTCGAAGACCCACCCTCAATCAGCGAAGGCTGCGGTGGACGAGTTACGGATTACAGAATAACGGTGAGAATTCCCCTGCAAGCTGCCAAGACCCTTAAAACATTTATTTATCCATCCAGGACTTTGGAGCATTAATGCGTAACAATGTCCTAGTGCCATTGAAACGCAGTCCAACCGACGACGGAGAAGGGCCCGTCTCGAAGACGAGAACGAGACTAGAAAGGCACACCAAATATTGGCCGATAACGATCTCAAGTACTCTAATGTTTAACCTGAAGCAAGTAAGTTTAAACGAAACTAATCCCGCCCGAGGAAAAATTAAGACTACGTTTTTACTCCAATATTTTAATATCATATCCAGCTGGTCGATCCATTGCCGGAGTTGCTCGTCAAGGAGGAGCTCTCAGTGGAGGAGGTAGTCCAGTGCAAGCAAATCATTTTCGGTCTGCTGCAGCTGGAAGCAAAGCACGAAGCTTTACCATTGCCTAGTCTGGGTGGAGGTCGAGGTGGGAAGGGAGGTATTCGTCGAGAGGAGCACTACCGTCTGCTCTGGGGAGAGCTCGAGACGTTCCTGAGAGGACACGCTAACAACTCCGCATCCCACGCGGAAGTACTTAACTGTTTACTCGAAGTCCACAATAAAGACGACAAGGACAAAGTGGAGTTGGATCAGGCCCTGCGTGAATTAGACGGGTACGTAGAGCTTCAAATGAACCCAACACCAAACGTGTGCCGATTTCATGAGTCAATTTAACCACCAGGCTAGGAAAAGAAGACGTGACCGCCCGGGCGAGCGTGATAAGAGCGACAACGGACTCCCCGATGTCCCCACCACCGTGCACCCCGGTTGGAAAGCCTTCCACATTGCAAAAAAGCATTATTCCGCAACCAAAGAGCCTCCTAGACATCTGGCTGCAGCGGAGTGCCCCGCGCGAGAAGAAGCCCGAGTTCCACGGAAGACTCAACTGCGAGGGGAACAAAGCGAAGCTCTATCCCAACGTGAAGGAGATCGGCCGGGAACAGCGAGAAACGATCCTGGAGGCCTGAAAGTACAACCGACTCACCTGGGACAATTTAATCCTTTCCCGGACACACAAAAGGGACGAAGAGAGACGCTCCTTCCACCCCCTCGACTCAAGATCCGATTTTCTTGTACATACCGCACCGTCCAGCTTCAAACACCACTATGTCACAATGTGTCACCGACATCTCTACAAATTCCATTTACCGCGGTCAGAGCTGCTCGCAATTTCGCGGAGAGAAATTAACGCTATTTAATCCACGAACAAGAGGAAGTGGAAAGAATGCTACAACCTCGTGAACAATCAGGGACGAGTACTATCGAGTGAGGCGATCGCTCATTAACGCGGCCGAATGACGTACAAAGTCGAAACAATCGCGTAATCACGTTCGGTACAAACACCAGTAGTAATTCCTTTATCAAGTGTGCAGCTTCGAAAAATAAAAGGAACATCCGTCAAACCATCCGAAACGAGAAGTACTTAAAAAAAAAAAAAAGAAAAGTGACCAGAGAATCGTTTAACAGGAATGTCGAGAATATAGAATTACGCATAAGTCGGTTAGTTGCGGTAGGTCAGCGATCGCGGACACCCGCTAGCGGTAATCTCTCGCGCGTCTGCGGCGCGTCTGGACCGTGAATACATCTCGCATCGGCGGGTTACGTTGACCCCCACGAGGGAAGAAACTGTAGAGCTAATAGTAGCCCGAACTGTAGGGAGGCGCATTCCGCGGAATGCCCGGCGTTAATCGATGGGCGAGGGGCGGGCGGGGGGGCGGAGGAGGAGGAAGGAAAACTACGTAATATAACGCGGAGAGCGGAAGGGCGGCCGCGGGTGGGAAGGGTCGCGGGTACAAGGGCGTGACGTCACGATTCATTCATGCCTTACGCGGAGTCTGTGAATGGAGCGACCACGTGGTCAGCGGGACCACGTGGTGCACCTTGGAACGTAGGCGTGCGTCAATCGCGTATTCGGACGCGTCCACGCGTCCGATGTCGCACTGAACGCCGCCGTTCCCGCTTATCCCGAGAAACAGCGGCACCCTGATAAAAGAAATATGCATGGAACCAAAGATATATATATATATCTTCAAATCAAAGTGACAATTATATCGCTATATCATACACAATTAACACTATTTCTACCAAAGGTGTCAGGAGACACCTTTTAAAATTTTAACTTGAAATTATTTTCAAAGTTTAATAATTTTTCCTCAATTAATGTTTTGAGTTTTCGTATAATGATTGTTAAATTTATTTAGCGGTATCATTTTTCTCCAGCTCATCAAAGCCTTTTGGTCGAAATGGGTATACACAGAATCGTGGTAGAAATAGTGTTAATCTCTCTAAGTATGAAACGTCGCAATGTGCAATTATATCGCTATATCATACACAATTAACACTATTACTACCAAAGGTGTCAGGAGACACCTTTTAAAATTTTAACTTGAAATTATTTTCAAAGTTTAATAATTTTTCCTCAATTAATCTTTTGAGTTTTCGTATAATGATTGTTAAATTTATTTAGCGGTATCATTTTCCTCCAGCTCATCAAAGCCTTTTGTTCGAAATAGGTATACACAAAATCGTGGTAGAAATAGTGTTAATCTCTCCAAGTTTGAAACGTCGCGTCCGATTAATTCGATTTAAGTAGCGTCAAATAAATATCCTCCGAATGGACGAAATATTTCTTTGGTACTATTAATATGTATATATATGGTTCAATGTATAGTTTTTTTTTTTTCTCAGGGTGGATAAACTCAACGGTGTCGCGCGTAAAAAAGAGTCCCATACCCATTGCCGGGGGAATTTAAAGAGGCCTTCATTCGAGCCCACCGTGGGAACCAGAGATTAGCAAAATCTCTTCTAGCAAAATCTTTGGCAAATCCGAATTTCGAGCGTTTACGAGTCTCCTCCTTCCGCCTCCGGTACCGTCGTTCGAGAAGAGACGCACCTCGTGGAGAAGGAACCACGGCGAGCCAGGAGGAGAGGCTCGGAAAATCCCGAAACCGCCGACGAGGAGGAAGGATCGAGGAACCTCGCCGTCGAGGATCCAAGACAGAGAGAGAGAGTCGCCGCGTTCCTCTCGCGGCAATTCCGCCCCACCCAGTATACGCGCACCCGCCGAGTGTCGTTTCTTTTTCTCCTCTCGTCCCGTTCCGTGTGTGTTTCCCATCCCCCTCCATCTCTCGCGGCACTCTTGCTTTCGCCTGGACCCCCCTTTCCCTCCCACCGGCGAAAATCTCTCAATGGAATCGCGCGTCTACGTTTTCCACACGCCCACGTGCACGTGCACGCGCACACGCACGGCGTGTCGCGCGTCGACGGGGGGAAGGTCGCATTCGTCGGGATATGTTACCGGGTCAGCGGTTCTAGTTTCTTTCCGGCTATTCCACTTTCGCGTGACGTCACGCGCACTCGTTAAAGTGTTATCAAAAGTTTCCCTATATATATGTATATGATTTTTAACGCGTGAATTCTAATAACGTATTTTAATATACTGGATGCGATACACCGCTCGTCCTCTCGACGATTAACTAGCGACGTATACACGTTGCGACGCACACGTAGAAAATCACGTTATTAAAATTCATATACACATATATGGGTGCGGCGAATAATCTGAAACGTTAGAAAAAAAAATTTGCCGAGACGGCTGCCACTCGATCGCGATCAATCGGCGGGAACGTGCGTTTCCGCCCCGGGCCGCGGAAATTCCGCCCGCTTTCTCCCGTCGCGTATACGCAGACGGAGAAAGGGGGCGACCGCGGAATAAGCGCGGAGAGGAGGTGTGGTCGCAAAAGGAAGACACTTAGACAAAAACTTAATCGCATCTGCAAGTACAGAAACTGCTGAATGTATTATTTCGTGATTATGAATCCTTTCATCTCTCTCTTTCTCTCATCCTCACTTTCTCCCGTCCCACACGTTCTCGCATCCTCGCATTCTCCCTTGCACCCCCTCGTTCACACTTTCACCTCTCCTTCACCCTCTCTAATAGTTACTTTAAAAATCTGTGGAATGTTGAACGTACGCACGAGAATAATTACTTGTGTAGGAGGAGAAACATGGAGGAAACAAACGATTCGCTACGAGAGTTATCCGTTAATTTTTTAAGATAATAAAAACTACGTGTGTGTGTGTGTGTGTGTGATCGCCGACGCGCAGTCGACCTGCCTCACCGGACGCGGCCTAGGTCAGGGTCCAGGGCCCAGGGTCACGCGGCCGAGGCGCGGCCGACGCTAAGCGGAAAAGCCGTCGAGGTCCTTTGTCTCTCCGCCCCGCGCCTCGTCGCATCCGGAGCGAAAAAGAGCGGTGTCCGTATCTCGTCTCGAGGTCGACGCCCCCGCGTTCGGCGCGCGGATCCCCGATCAGCTGATACACATCCGTCGAGTCGGGGTCAGCTGACCCGGCCACGTGGGCCCGCGGATCAGCTGATCCGGCCACGTGGGCCCGCGCTCGTCAGCTGATCCGTCAGTCGCCGCGGGGCCTCCCCCACGCTCGCACGTACCCGCGTGAGAGAAGCGCGACGACGTCGGTCGTACACCTTCGCACGGCCTCCTCGTCGGCCCGGAATAATAAATTAGACGCTAAGGAGACAAGTGTGTCATTCAACGTATCTCTATTATGTTCGACCTTTCGTATCTCTTTCCGCGTCGACACCTTTTTCTTCTTCGTCCTTTTCTTCCCCCCCCCCCCTCAAAACTTATCATCAATCCATACACATATGTGCATCCCGCGATCTCCCCCCCTCGCCGTGTCGTTGCCCCGTTTTATAAATATAATCGTCGGCAGTCGGCTATACATATATTTATATATATATTTTTTTTTTCTCCCGAGAACGGAGAAAGGAGGCTCCAACAATTGTGTACGGAGCTTGCACGTTCTCCTTTTGTTCTCCCTCCGGCGACTCGTCCCATAATCGAAAGCTTTTCTCGGTCCCCCTTTGCTCTCCTTTTCCTCTCTCTACCTCTCACGCACCCTCCCTATCCATCTAATTCGATCTCTCTCTCTCGCTCTATCTTCGTTAAGGGGATCCGTGTGTGTGGCCGAGCCAAAGGAAAATGTCGCTAAAAAATACAGATCACTGGATGTCACATCTCGGTGAGCTCGCTAAGGTGTCAACATGCGTTCGTTTTCTTTTTTTTTTTCCCCCCTCTTTTGCTAATTCCTTCGCCCTCTCTATCCTCGCTTTGTACGCCGGCTATGACCTCACACAATTTCTTTTTACTTTTTATTTATATATATATTTTTTTTTTCTTGTCCTCATCCCAGATACGGGCAACGCCACTCGACATTCGCGATTCGATTGTCCAGTGTTCGCGACGCAAGACCGTTTACTTTCCTTAGAATCATTCGCGATAATTAATATTAAGATCGATATTAATCGAGCTCGTCTTCCCGCTCCCCCGCCACGCCAGGACGTACCATATCGTAACTCCTAAACGCACCAAACGAGCCAAACATCTCCGATTATTGAACTAATTAAAGGACGTACGTAATGATAAGCACGTTAATGACGATAAGAACAGCAAGAACGTCCCTAGGCTGCAATCCGTGGACAATTGAATCGGGAGCGGATTCTCGGCCTCGCCCATCTCCACGGTGGTTCGCACACTTTTTCCTCGCTTTCTCCGTTTCTCCCTATTGTTTTAATATTTATGCAAAAATACTAGTTAATTCCCTGTACATAAGCCTTAGCGGTGATGTAGCAGGTGTGTCCTCTCTCTCTGTCTGCCTACTTAATCGTTTGCGCTCTTGCTCGCCATTCCCCTCCCTCTTCCACCCCCCTTTCTTTTCCTTCCCACCAGCGTTCTCACCCACTTTCGTTTAACTGTTGGACTCGTGAAGCGTTTTCTTTTTATTTGTCTCTCTAAAGTTTCTTTACTTACAAGTTATTTGGTTTGCTCCATGCACTCGCGGCCTCTCCCGATACACACACACACACGCGCGCACACATACGCTCAAGTACATTTTCTCTCTTTCTCTCTCTCTTTCTCTCTCGATCCCTCGCGTTCTCCCTTTCTTCCTCACTTTCTCTCATTAATTAGGGCTTGTCGTTTTCCTTCCCGTAAAGGTCATACCTCGCGTTCTTTTTCTTTTTCCTTTTTCCTTTCCTTCATTATCCCTCGATTTAGGTATATAAATTATGGTAATGTGGATCGGCGCAACAATGAATAACCCGCGAGCGAGTCCCATCCTCTCTTTCCTATACCTCGTTGCCGCCGCTGGTACTTCCGAGCTAATTATTATCGTTAACCATCGTCATTCATGTGATTAATTATTATTAATATTAATATTATACCGTTGTGTACGCCATATCGGCCGATGCGTACCTCTCGGTCCCTCATTCCTCGTCCTCCTCTCATTCTCTCCCTCTCGCTCTGCCCTTCCCTCCCCAACGTCGAGGGGAGGGAAGTAATGGTGAAATTGCGAAGCAACAATTGCAAAGAAAGAAAATACATAAAAAAGAAAAGAATACTTCCTCTCCAAAGGAACCACCGATCCCGAAAGATGCGCTCATTTTCTTTTCCTTTTCTCTCCCACACTCCGAGATGAAATTCCCGACGACGTGTACAATGGCGGACATGATTGCCTCTCCTGCAGATACGGCATCGCTTGTGCAGGATGGGAAGGCATTGATGTCTCCCAGTGTACAACTGCTTCTCCCAAGGCAAGGACCGAATATTCCGGGGGGAAAAAAAAAAGAAAAGGGAGCACATCATTCAACGATGGCCCTTTAAATCGGATAAATCAAGGTAAAGCACTCCCGAGCGTTTCCAAGGGACTCCGGTTGTCCCTCTCCTCCTTTTTTAAAGATCGGCCCTACCGGCATCTCCCTTTAACTCGGGGTGCCCCCGACACGCGGCGCGCCTATCGATCCGGCTTACATATATATGTATATACTCTCTCGCGCGTACATGTATACATATACATATATATACGTATATATACCCCCCGAAGGTTTCGCTCGCGCTCTCGCTCTCTCCCTCGCGCTCCCCTTCCGCGCGGTAATTACGGGGACGTGCGCGCGCCATGTCGAGGAATTTTCCGAAAAAAAAAATATATATATAAAAAATAAATAAAAATAATCACGTGACAACGCCCAGGATTTTCCACTCTCGGGATAACGGGGGAGATCGAGGCGGGATCTCGAACCAGGAGGAATCGGGAGCGAGTCCTCTCGTCGTCCTGGATGTTCCTCTCCAATTCGCGCGAGGAGGCTCTCCCGGAAACGCAGAGCGAAGAATGACGATAGAAAATGCAAGAAAAAAAAATAGAAGGCGCACCTAAGCGGAGCCGAATCGCCGCTCGACGCACCCACGATTACAAGCATATTAATCCCTAGATTAGCTACAATTCGCATGTACCCATGCACGTGCCAATATACGCAGAGGATATTCGCCTAAGAGTACGTACACCGTGGGTGCGTCCAATCGGCAATGTCGTCCGAGAAAGTATATCCGTATTGCAGTACGCTCGCGTGTTTAATACACCTTCGCAATTACCTTCCCAGCGGGGAAGTGTCGGGGGCTCAGTGGCGGCTCGTCAGGACCAACGAAAAAAAAAAAAATAAAATAAAATAAAAAATAAACTCTCTTCCCAACCTCTGGCACGATTATGTCACCCACTCGACGGACCGTTTCCTCCTCCTGTCCTTGAAGAACCGGGGCGGTTCGACGATTAAAGCCTAAGTGTGTATGTACAATTAACGAATTCCCCTCGAGAAGAACGCGCGTTGGGAACCAGCGAAAACTGGAGTGGAGTATGTGGAGAAACGACAAAAAGAAAAGAAAGAAAATAAAGAAAAAAGAGAAGGAAAGAAATCGATCAAACGGCGCGAGATCGCGAGGGCTGGACTTGAGAATGGGTAATCATTTGAACAGCGATTTAAGGAGGAGTTCCGAGGTGATCCCCCTTTGATCGAGGACCTGGGGGTCAGCCACCACCGGCCTCGCAACTTCCGCGCCACCTCCCCGCGGTAGTCCTCGGGGTCGCGCGAGTCGGTCGAAGACGACTCTCGTCTACGGGAGCGAGAGCAAAGTTCGCCGTGGCAGTGCAGGACGTTCGCGGGTTAAGGCGACGCCGGGTCGCGATTCCGCACCTGGGCACGCGGAGCGAGGATTTACGCGGCGACGCAGCGCGATCGCGCCCTCCGGGGAGGGCGAGACCTGGCCGCAGTTTCCCCGAGGAGGCTGCGTCGCCGCGCAAAACTGGACCTACCAGTCCGAGCGGTGCATCGAATCTTCGGCCAGGCACTCATGCGCCGGGCAGGGCGCCGTCCCGACGCTCCTGGACGCGCACCCCCGACGAGGTCCCCGGGGCCCGGCGGAGCTCATCGTTCGAGGGCCGACGAGGATCGTCCGAAGAGGACGCATCGGGGCGCAGGGCGCAGCAGGGCGGGCACGTGTCTCAGGCTCGAGCCCTCGGGGGTCGCCTCGCCGAGGGCTAGAAGCGCCTCGTCGCCATTAAGGCGAGGCCCCCGACCGGGCCCAGGGCGAGGGGGGGGTTGTCATCGGCGAGGGTTGGCGGGGAGGTGCGGCCGCGGGGTCACTTCTTGCTCTTCTTGGCGGGCGGCTCCCGAGCGTCCCGGGCCTCCCGGGTGGTGTCCTGCGAGTCCTCGGTGTCCTCGCTGTCGGTTGGCCTGGTGTTGGTACTCTCGTTCGTCGCGAGGGAGTCGTTCGTGTCCTCGCTGGGTGCCGCCCCGGTTATCGGGGTCGCCGGCTTGTCCAGGGAGTCCTCCGTGAAGGAGGCCGTGCTGTTGTCGTCGAGGGCCGCCGGGTCGATCGCCGCTTCCTTACCGTTCGCCACCACCACCACTTCGGCCTCCGTCGCCCCCGGAGGCGTAACCTCCTCGGACGAGGCCTCCTGGTTACTGTCGTCCGAGGGCTCCGTCGTCTCGCCGTTCGTCGGGTGCGAGTTCCCGTTCTCCGTGGTCCCTGGGATACCGTCCAGCAGCTCCGGCTTCAGCTCCGAGGCCACGTAGTGCGTCCACAGGGCCAATTCCACCCTGTGTGGGCTCCAGATCTTTCCGTTGGACGCTACCATCGGGAGATGCTTTGTTAATATGGGCTTGGCACCTCTGATTTTATTTTATTTTTTTTCTCATTCCTCTGAGGAAAATGTACACGAGGTTCTGGAAATTATTTGCGGACTTACTTTGCTTGTTGAGCCTCTCGACGGTGTTTTGAATGTGCTGAACGAAATTGAGGTACTCCTTGGTGGTGTAGTCGATCCCCTCGATCTCTGGGATGGCCATGAGGCACTCGTCTGCCATGAAGGGAGCGTTCTCCGGAGAGGCAGCTGCCAGGAGGGCCGAGGCCATTGTGGTGCCCACACCCTTCAGGTTCGAGAGGGCGGTGATCGCCTGCTCCAGGTTTGGCAGCTTCTTGAAGGCTTTCTTGGTCTCGGCCATCACGGCCCGGGGTGTGTTAACCTTTATTAGGTACGACACCTGAGGGTAGAACTTGCCACGCTGGAAGCAGGTCATTTTGTTTGTCAAAGTTCAGATCCTGAGATAAAACCTAAGAGAATAAATAAACCAAGAGAAGTCGCACAATGTGTACTCACTATCTGTTTCCATTTCATCGTTTGCACCAGTTCTTCGTGGTTGAGATGAGCATCCTTTCCCCGAGCTTTGATTTTCTTCGGTAGCTCGTTCTGATACCTGAACACATGCAAAAACATTTTTAAATAGAACTTACATGCAACGACGGTTGAGTCAGTTTCTTTGTTTATTTTCGATCCATTTAAATGTGCCGTTACTACACGATTACTTCCAAGTTTTCAATGAAGCGATTAACGCTAATGAACCGTTGAAAACACGCGTTTGACATCTGCAGATAAGCCAGTGGCTCGTAATATTTACATAATTACTCGCATATCATTGTCACCATGTTCTTTATAAGTACACGTTTTAAACCAATTACAACCGATCTAAGAACAGAGATACACCCTCTGGAAAAAAATGGCCATTTAAATTACAGCTTTAAATCATACGGAATCAAACAAAGCATCCATAATATATACTCCGTGCACTTTAGCATAAGATCTCAAATACGGAGCACACTTTTAAATGAAATTTCGCTCTTTTAACATATTCCGCATTATCAGCCACATAACCTAAGATACATCCTCGATCCACCTCGGCATTTTCCAATGATTCTCTCAATAAACATAATTCCTGGGCATCTAAATACTTGCCACAAATCCCAGGAATTAATAAAAAATAATAAAATTCGTTCAGACATCACTAGAAATCACCAGAAATGAAGAAAACCTCCGAGTTAAGGTGCGAACATACTCTCCATCTCTCCTCGTTACAGAGCCCCCTCTACCCATCCGCGCATCTCCAAAATATTTTCCACGACTCCCCGCGTCTCTAGTCACGTCTTAAACTCGAAGAATATCAAAGAAATTCAGGACAAGTCGAAAAGTAGGCTCCGAAAAGCCTCTATCCTTTTCCGGCCATCTCTCTCGGCGTGCACGCTCTCATCGAACCCCGTTCGGCCAGGGGCCGATCAATGTGCTATCACCTCTCCCCTCGTAATAAACGACGGCTCTGGATAACGAAAGAAAGCTTAGGCAGGGCATATCCACACAATCTAGGGTAAAGATCCCGAAAATCGGGCAAAGCGAGGCCGCAACGCGACGGGTTCATTGTCCGTCCGAGGAAAGGAAGCCCCTCGGACGGTGTCGCTCGAAAGGGGCCCCTCGCGCGTCCCGCCTCGCCGTTCTGGCAAATTCAACTCACCAGTTGTCAAGCTTGATCAGCTCCTCGGGTTTTTTGGTCTTCCGGTCGGCCTTGAGTCGCAGGGCCTGCGGATAGAGCTTGAGTACGTGCTCGAATTGGCCAGCGGTCCCCTCCGCGAAGAAAGTCGCAGTGTCTTTAATGGACGCCATTGCGATCACTGAGGCTTCGCAAAATGGCCGCGAGGGTGCGCGGCGGTCGGCGCGCAAGCAGGGCCGCGCAGCCGCTGGTCCCCTCTCGGACGGCGCGCAACCTCCGGTCGCTCCAGAAAAACGAGGCCCTTCGGTCTAGGGACCCGACTAAACGATATCGACCGATAGATCAGAGAGCTTTCGATCGATCGATCCGCTTCTCTCCTAATTTCACTCCCGGAGGTAGCGGGGCTCTCTGCCTTGCCGACGAGGCGACGCGACGCGGCACTCTCGTCCCTCGGTGGTTTTCGTCACGGCTTCCCTCGTAGTCGAATCCGGCGATTCGGAGGTTGTATAGGGGAGATCAGGAGTAAAGTCGACGACTTGAAAGGACGACCACTACTGATGTAGCTCCGCAGAAGGCAACGTGGAGTACCCGCACGTAGACGCTCGCGAAATGTCATGCGCCCGTCCGAGATCGGCCCGACTCGGGCGGCTTCGCCGGCCCTCGTTGGTCGCGAGGCGGCCGGGTGGGGGTAGAGCCCCGCGCCGCCAGGTGGCGGCAGCGTCCGACGCGCTCGTCGCGTCTCTCTCCCGCAGCCGGCCGGCGGACGCGCCTCCGTCTCTCTCCCCCTCGTTAGGGAGTTATTTCCGCCGAGTATCGCCGTCTCTCTTGCTGGCTCTCTCGGTCGCTCCTTCCCCCTCCACCTTCCACCGTGGGGCAGGGAAAGGACGGAGACGGGCGCGCAATTATCCGCTGCGTGACGCGCGCGCTTCCCCTACTTTGGCCCGGGGTAAGCGAGATAGGTAGACGGGGGACGCCGGCCCTGACGGGTCCCCGGGCTCGCGGCGAAGGCTCGCGTCGATCCCGACTCGTCGCGAGCCTGTCGACCCGGTGGAACGACTCTCGGAGGACGTGCGCGCGACTCGCGGCGCCTCCGCGCGTCACCGTTTGCGCATCGCTCCTGCGCATCGACGACCCGGCTCCAAGGTCTCGACGGTATCCTCTCTTTGTTTCCTGGATATCCCCTCGATCCCCGTCGATCTCTTCCTCCGTCCGCGGTCGTCCGTTCCGCCCCTCCTCGGTCCGTCCTCTAACCGAAGGCGCACTCGATACGCGCGACCAGATGAAAAAAAAACAACGGCGAAAACACGCTGGCTCTCTCTCCTGATCCGCACCCTAGTGAGGCGGGCGGCCGACTGAGGGCAGCGCCTTCGCTCTCCGCCTACCCCCGCCGCGTTGCCGCTCCCTCTCGCTCCCTTCCACCCAGTCTCTCTTCCTCCGCGCCGTTCCTCGGCCTACTAATCCGCGGCTCCGTTCGGGAACGCACCTCGGTGTCCTCCTCTCTCCCTCTCCCTTTCTCTCCTCGAGACCTCTCGGCTCGCTCCCTCTCTCTCCCGCCAGGGGGTCGATAGCGACGCGTTTCGGAACGTGCGGCCGCAGCGGGAACTGGATTCGCCCGCTGCCCCCTCCACCTCTCTCCCCTCCCCCCTCGAGACCTCCAAGTCGACCCTCGGCCTACTGAGCGTTAAGCCGGCGCGTTCCGAAATGCGCTTGCTCGGCTCTCCCCTCTGCCTTCCACCCCCTCCGATCCCATACCCCCTTTCGCATCGACCTAGCCCGTCGCGTTCCGGAACGCGCCTCGAGGGACGAGGCGGACCGCGTTCGTTACGTAGAGGAATAACGAGCTTGCCGACCCGGCCCGGCCGCGCCGACCGGTCGGAATTCGCCGCGTTTAGGCTCTCTCCCTCTCGCGGCGGCCCCTTCAACCCCGACGGCGCCGATACGCTCCGCTCCCTGCCGGCTGGCGCGCCCTCTCTGTCTAACCACCGTAACCCGCATAGTGACCTCTCTCTCGCTCCCGGGCTACGTGGCCCCTGAGAGCGGCCGCTCGCGCGATCGCTCGCTCGCTAGCCTGTGGAAATCGATGCGGGCCTTGAAGGGAGGTGGACCCGAGCCGCGGCTTGCGCTCACCCCAGGGACGCGCCTAGCGCTCAGGGGCCCCCGACTCTCCTTCTCTAACATTTATACTCTAACGTTTTTACTTTCCATTTCTACGGTTACGTTTAATTCGATTCTTTATTTCTTCATTCGCGCGGCTTATTCTCCACGTATAAGCTCGCAGTCGCTGCGACATTTTCACGGGGATTTGAAAATTAACCTAATGGAATTTTCCACGGACCGGGATGGTAATTTTTTGATAATGGGGAGGTCGTTCGAGATCTCCCGAGTCCGAGGCGATGTCCGGGAGAGGAGGGAATTATCGAGGATTTTTGATTTCAGGAGGAAGTAGCATTTCGAATATTTCGGAGTATCGACGCGGAGTCTTGGGTCAGGGACGTGGATTATAGGCTCCGGGCCATGTGCTTCCGTGGGCATTATTCTCGATACAGGACGCGGCTTTGGTCGTTGGTATTCGAACGGGCCTCCGGAAGACCGAACCGTTGGGGCCCTCCTAGGAATACCGAAAATCCCCCGTTCCTCGTATCCGTTCGCGGCTGAATATTCGGAGAGGGCTGAAGAGGGCGAAAATGTCGAGTTTCGGTATCGGGGGCCGAGCCCGGTCGATATAGGCGCGATGAAAAATGTATCGAGAAGGTCGTTGCGTCCCGCGACGTTAGTGCGCGATCTCGCCCAGTGGCGGCGCCGCGGCGATCGCGCCGATTGCGGAATATCCCGACTATTTTCGATATTTAACGGCTACGTCGTAAAGGGGCCCGTCCAATCCGCGACTCGGTTCTCGCGGTTGGCCGGGGTTCTCAACCAGAGGAAGACCCAGGGGACGGGATTTTTACACGGGCTGGAAACCCAGTCGGTCCCTACACGCGCCATATGCGCACCGCTCTACAGCGCGCCGCATCGTTCGTGCCATGCCGGCCGATAATGCCGGTGGGCGCGTGTTGGTGAGAGATCTCACTTCCCACGTCCCCCCTGGCCGCCCCTCCGCCATGGACTACCCACACGAAACCACCGACCGTGTCGAGAAACTCGACTAATGTCGTCACTGCCCCCGTCCGGCCACGCGGTCGCCACTGCTTGCGTCTTTCCTCGGATTTTCCTCGACGCCAATTTTCCACCGTTTATTTCTTTTTTTCTCTCTCCTCCCTATTTCTTTTTTCCCCTTCTCGCTTCGCTTCGAAGCTAAGCCTCTACTGGCGACGTTCGATCCAGGGCATTTTATTTTACATTTATTTATACATTTTCTATCGTTTGCCTCGATCGAGTTCGCTCTTTTATTTAGACTGCGAGGGACTTCCTCGTTCTTTTTATTTTTAATTATTTTTCTTTTCTTTTTTAACGAATCGGAATATTAGGGATCCCAGGATTTTAAATCATTTCTCGGGGAAATTAAATAGATGTCTGATCGCTGAAGTATTTTTTCCGGGTGAAATTCTAGAGGGAATGATTAAATAAAGAGGGGAGGAATCTTGGGTCGGAGGGGGTATATGTATTTTTTTTCTCTGGCTATTAAAATGAATATTAACGTTATTAATAATGCGATCGAGGAGTTTTGAGGCTTGCAGCCTCATCGGGGATTTTTCCCTGTACTCCAGGGGTACCCTTGAACCGAATGATTTTCCTCATCCTTGGATTAGCACGCAGAATGACGGAGAGTGCAATAAACGATGCATTGTGCGAGGTTTTCGAGCGAGCAGGGGAGAGAAGAGCCGTTTTCGGGTCTAAAGGGGAAGCCTGCAGCTTGCCGGCTGCCAGCGGCCCCGAACACTTTGGGTTTCAGCAGCTGCAACCAGTCAGCGAACGCATACAAGGAGCTTAATGGAAGCCCGACTCACACACCCTTGCCCCGTGGCCCTCACGTGGCCGCGCGCCCGATACGCGGCCACTCGCGCCATCTCTGGACTCTCTGATGAAATTCACATGGAAATTGTATGCTGGCGCCATCCACCTGGAGCTATCGGTAACATATCCGCCAGCGAATAAGTTACCTGCCCGAGTTGGGTACCGACTTCGCTGGAGCGACGCGAGATGGCGCCACGGCCCGACTCGAAGCTCGCGGCGGTTCCTGAATTCAAATCAGTCTCTAATCCCCTCGAATCGATGCCGTCACTTTTCGTCTCGGTTACGCGATTCGTGGACCGCTCGTGAGAGAAAAACACCGGAATCTCCTAAAATCTACGTCCATACAGCTTCGCCAACCTTCTACGAGTGAGTGTATTTAAATTACGCTGGGAATAACCGCTCTCAAGGTTCCAACGGCTTGGAAGTCGACAGGTCGGATCGATTCGCCGGATCTCTTTCAATTATTCATTTTCAGCTCGTATTAATCTGATTCGAGTATTGGGCTCGGTAATCTTGGGTATTTTATCGTGACTTTTGACATATTTACGGTTTATTTAAGGATTTTTGGGAATGTCGTGCATCTGTGGAATCCGCCATATTGAAAATGTGAAATACAATTTTGAATACAAGCGGGAAATTCACTGTGCGTTATAATATTTCCGTGTTTACGTGTGCTAAGAATGGTTTATAACTTAGCATCCTTCATGTTGGAAAAGTAATTTTCTGGTTTTCTAAACTACTTTGTTAGGTAACATACGTAGAAAAGTCGAAAAATGGGGAATTACCTACCCTCACCTCGGAGGAGCCGCCATCTTGGATCTAAGAACTCCGTTTATACTTGGACCTTCTTCTCCAACGAGGAATTAAACACCTGTGAGATTCCATAACTTTGATACGGCCAATCTTTTTGTTCCCACCGGGTACGTCACTTCGCACAAGAAACAATGGTTACGCGTGTCCCATTTATCGCGAAATTGCGAAAGCAACGGGGGCGACTCTCTATTTCCCATGGAATCGCGTCGCGCGGCATTCCGCTCGAATTTCGCACGATCCCGATCCGCGGATTTATTCGTCAGTCGGCGGCTCCGCCGATTTGTCCGGGATTAGCTTTTCCTCCGGCCGCGGAAATTCGTTTATCGGAAATATCCCCCGACTCGTTCCCAGGGTGAGACAAAATTCTCCCACGAGTGTGTCGTTGCCTCCCTCTCGGGGACGTCTTCCGCGGATTTTCCGCCCGCAATAAAAGCCGCGATGAAAATGAAAAGTTTTACGCAACACTTTGCGCGGGCTGGGCAAACGACGCCGAGGCGTTACATCGAAGGTGTAAACATTTATGAGGGCGTATAAATAAAAGCGCGAGCCAGGGAAAATGCAAAGTGGATCGGCGGACAGATACGTCGCGTCGGAAATATTTTTCGCGTGGGATGAACCGTCTCTTTTCGTCCTCTTCCTCTTCAAATAAAATTCTAAGCTTAAGTACTACCCACACTGGACGTACACAAATTAATTCAAGCCGCTGCCGGAACCCTAAGCTATGTAAAAAAAATCTTCAAAGTCTTCATAATGGTCGTTTTAACGTTTTTGATGTTGCAGGAGGCTTTGAATTTTTTTTTTTAATTGTTAAGGACTACTTTTATCAATTTCAAAAAATTCTGAGCTTAAGTACTACCCACGGGGTATGGCCGTCCTTTTTTTTTTCTTTTCCGCAACGACGGACAAGCAAACGGACAAACTCCGAAGGGCATGAGGGATATCTCAGCTCGTTTGAAGCGCGGTTTTTCATCTGCATGATTTAGGAACTGTTTCCAAGAGATGGCGCAAGATGGCGCGGCGATAGCGCGCCATTTTGTGCCCGCGAAGCGGCCATTCCGCGGCATTCATTCCGCGGTCAAAGAAGCCCGCGGTTGCTCCCTTGAAGTCGCAATCCGGAGATAAAAATCGGGGGGGAACGCACCAGAGGGTCGGCATTAAATTTAAATCGGCCGTAGTTTCCGCGACCTACCCTCACCTCGCGAGGGGCGGGCAATTCAAATCCACCGCAGCTTAATCAACTCCGGACGGAGAGGGAAGGAAAAAAAAAAAGAAAAAAATTAAAACGGTATAAAAACCCTCGTATTTACTCCTCGTGTAATACCTTTTGGAAGTGTTTCCACCTCGCGGTTGCATAATCGACCCCCGGAGGAGATTTTATTCGTTGATTTCGAGATCGCCTCTTCGGTCCTCGGTTGATCGACTCGGCGATCACCGACCGAGACTTTTCTCGAGATGGTCGAATTTACGAGGCTTGTAACGTTAATTCCAGGTAATATCTCAGTGAATTACACCTTTAGAGGGGATTAACGATCTCTAGGAAAAAAAAAAAAAAAGTCGCACGGTCTAGATCACGCGGGGACGAGATTGAAATATCGCGAAATTTCCCCCGTAAATTGCGTACGGGTTAATGAGAGCGGTTTTACTCGGTGGATTATTTATTTCCGAGCTTTCGGTAGATGCGTATGAAGGAAATCGAGGAAGGAGATAGGACCAGAGGTGCGGTGACATTCTTCAATTATTCTCAGTGGTCGTTAATGCGCAACCCGGAGCGGAGTTAACGATCGTCACCGGGGTTCGATGGCCGAAATTGCCCCCCGCGAATTGCGCGCTATCTCGCGAATCGCTCCGAATTTAAATTGCGCGCGGTTTTTCCGCGAAACGGGCGGCGAAAGTGCCGATCGTCCGGAACGAGCCACTTCCGGGGTAAATCGTTCTTAATGGGGAGCTTTATGTCCATTAAGAAAGTCATGGGGCGATGCCTTTCCCCTGGATCAGTGATAAGAGCTAATCTCTCGTGCGTCGTTCATGGGTCAGGAGGGAAGTGATCGATGGGGTCGCAACCCCATCCTGGAGTCGAATGCCGCCCACTGTACAAGCGTAATAATCACTCATGGCGGGCTCCCCTCTTCCTAGACGTCTTCCATTCATCCTTTAAACGGCCCAGAAAAGAATTTATCTCCCATGCACCCAGGGGTTTTAAAGGCTCAGTTTTCGGGGTGCACGCGTCTCTTTGATGCTACGTCGCCGTGTAATTTTCTTTTTTCTTTCCCTCGCCCCTGAAGGAAAGAAAAAAAAGAAAGAAAAATTGAAAATATAGGACCACGCATAGAAACCCACGCGAGGATTTAGGACCGCTAGATTTATGATCTAGAGAGAAAGGACCAAATCCGAAGCTGGGGGGTTTAAGGTATCTCATTTTTTTTTTGTTATTTTCAATTTTTCATTCGCTCAAGCGAGGACGTAGGGAGGATAATTAATTTTATTTATCTTTTTAGGGCGCCCAGTCGATCGGGACGGATCCAGACTCCTGGGGCGACGCCGAGCGTCTTCTGGGGACAGACGCAGAAACGATGGCAGGATCTAGCCAATTATTACAAGCGTAATAATCACTCATGGCGGGCTCCCCTCTTCCTAGACGTCTTCCATTCATCCTTTAAACGGCCCAGAAAAGAATTTATCTCCCATGCACCCAGGGGTTTTAAAGGCTCAGTTTTCGGGGTGCACGCGTCTCTTTGATGCTACGTCGCCGTGTAATTTTCTTTTTTCTTTCCCTCGCCCCTGAAGGAAAGAAAAAAAAGAAAGAAAAATTGAAAATATAGGACCACGCATAGAAACCCACGCGAGGATTTAGGACCGCTAGATTTATGATCTAGAGAGGAAGGACCAAATCCGAAGCTGGGGGGTTTAAGGTATCTCATTTTTTTCTGTTATTTTCAATTTTTCATTCGCTCAAGCGAGGACGTAGGGAGGATAATTAATTTTATTTATCTTTTTAGGGCGTCCAAGGGACTCCTGGGTCGGTGCAGCAGGGCGACGCCGAGCGTCTTCTGGGGACAGACGCTGAAACGATGGCAGGACCTAGGCACCGAGGCTCGCTTCTATTTGGTATGCGGACGAGGAGGGACAAACAGAAAATTTCGTTCCCCGGCGGAAGCGAAATTCGGCCGTTTAGAGCCGTTTGCCTGGGGAAGATCAGCATAAAAATCGGGTAGTCGGGCGACGAGGGCCGAAAAATCTGTTCTTTTTAGTCATGCGGCGAACCGGCGCCGCGCATACGGTATTCCGGGTCCGCGGCGTCGTTCCCGTACATTCGTCGGCGTTAACTCCCCCTCCGAGGTGTACACCGGGGGGAGGAATCGGGAATAACCGAGTTATCGAGGTAAGCTTTATGCTCCGAGGTACCAACCGTCCTCTGAAACGATCTACGGACGAGTCTCGAGCACGATGGAAGCGTACCACGCGGAATAAAAGAAACCGATAGTCGGCGCCCAAGGACGACACATCCCGGTGCGCATCGTCGCGACGCTTGTGCACGTCCCCCCGCGCCCCAGGAGATTTAATAGCCGTTTTTCCGTGTCGCGTGTGTACCACGTGGCGCGGGGGGGTGGGGGCGGCGGTGCGCACGCGCGCGGCCCGCGAGGGGGGGACCCCGCGGCCTCGCGAACGCGCCTTCAGTGGGCATCGAGCTCTGGTCGCGCGCGGTTCGTCTTGCGTCGCTCCCCCGTTCGGACGGCACACCACGTGGGCTAAACTCACGTCGCGACGTCGTCTGCGAGACCTCGACCGATCGTCCCACCTCGAATCTCCTCGGTGGAGGCTGACCACCCGAGGCCGTTTCCACTAGGAGAGAGCCTGGGTCGACGGCGGTCCAGGTGGTGGTCCATGAGAGGAGCGACACCGATTCGCCAGGTCGCCACCGAGAGGACCAACGCCGATCAGGGGGATCATCCTCGAGGCCCTCGACCCTTTCACTAGGTATTATGTCGGACCTTTACGTTGGATTTTCGTTTCCCGATAAGTACCGGCGAGGTCGTAACGAGGGATTGGTTAATTGCTCCGGGAAATATGTGAAGGGGAGAATTTGCGGAGGCTCGTTAAGCGCTCCTTGCGGCCTGGAGGCGAGCAATGCGTTACTCGCTCTGCGTTACTTAGCATGACGCCCGGTGCACCGGTAAAATTCCGGAAATTCACTGAATTTGCGGAATTGCTGGCAGTTTCTCAGGGCGGTGTAAGGCGTTCCCGGCGATGATTTACAGTAGTCGAGTTTTTTCTACCGAAAGACGCAGAACCGACGACGGCAGGGCGTTGCGAAATACGTCGTCATCGGGCCCTCGTAATAACCCGCTAAGTACACGTCGCGAGTCAAGGACACGGAATTATCGGCCCGGAGACCGGTGTTTACGTTTTCGAGCCTCTTCAAAGGCGTTCCTTTGACGACGGGAGAGCGTAGAAAAAGGAAAAAGGAAGTATGCATGGAAGTTACGTAGGAGGGCGGCCACGAGAGGGGACGCTGACCTAGGGATTCCTCGTGGCCTCAACGCGGAATAGAACTCCAACCTGGCGAATTAAGGGGATGTGAATGTGGCATCCGAAAGCTCAATCGTTCATATAACTTTTTCACGAACTGGGTGTCCCAAATCATTTCATACTTTAAAACGTGAATATGGAGACCTTAAGGTAGGTCCTGGAACTCGGAAAATTTCATTTTTTATAAACTATTTTTAAAATACCTATAAACAAATTTGAAGAGAATTGAAATCTCATGAGTTCCAGGACCTTTCTTATAGTCTCCCTGTTCACGTTGTAAAGCGTCAAGCTATTCGATAAACCGAGTTGGGAGAAAAGTTTAATAAACAAAACCTCTTCGATGCCACTTTTCCATCACCTTAAGGGGATGTGAAAGTGGCATCCGAAAGCTCAATCGTTCATAAAACTTTTTCACGAACTGGGTGTCTCAATTCGTTTCATACTTTAAAACGTGAATTTGTAAACCCTAAGGTAGGTCCTGGAACTCGCGAGATTTCATATTTTATAAAAGTACTTTTAAAATTCCTATAAACAAATATGAAAAGAATTGAAATTTCACGAGTTCCAGGACCTTCTTTATAGTCTCCGTATTCACGTTGTAAAGCTTCAAGCTATTAGGTAAACCGAGTTGGGAAAAAAGTTTTATAAACAAAGCCTCTTCTACGCCACTTTTCCATCACCTTAACCGCCGTCTATTCGGATGCATCTGGGTCCGCGTTTACGCGCAATTTCGAGGCCGTTTTCGGAAATTCGAGGAGGCGAGCCAGGTCGCGTCCCTACCCGGACGGAACGGGCCTCGTCCCTCTCGTCGGCGATGAATTATGCAGGGGTTTCGTATTCTCGGCTAAACGTATTAAGAAAATGTTTTATTCATTGCCGCCGATAAGCCGAGATAAGTCCCGGGATCGGGTGCGAGCCAGGTCCGCGGTGGTACGGGGATACAGGTAATATTTAATAACAAATTGGGAGCCCCGGAGGAATCCTCCGGTCGCGTGCGAGAGATCGCGTGATTGTTAAATCCTCGTAATATCGGCCCCTTATCGATTGTTAACGAACCACGAAATCGGTCCCTTTGGTTTTAAACTAATTATCCGCCGGGGTAGTCGACGTTTAAATGATCGGTAAATACCCGTNCAGTTCGGAGAAAAGTTTTATAAATATTTTCATATAAATTTATATAACGAGCCTTTCGTATCACTTAAAGGGGGGCCTTTGAATTGGTTGGATCTTTAACGAGGGCCTCGTTTATTTAATTCCAGGGCGTGCGGTGCGACTCCGTCGCCGACCTTCCGCAACGTAGAAGAGAGGAGGATCCACTTCGCGCGGTCGCGGCCGACGCGGATGGCGAGCACTCGAAAATAGGCGACTCCACGCCCGAAGTTCTAATTCGAGAGGGGCACGGATTTGCGAGTGCACGACCGAGGCGAGACTCGTGTACCACCCTCCGCTACGATCTGCGAAAACGAGGTAAAGCCGGCTAGAGTTTGGCGCGTTCCTTGCGTCTTTGGGTTTTCGGGTCCCCGGATGTGCGGTCCTCCATCCGGGATAGAATCCCGGATGGCTCCTCCACCGCGACGTTTCTACTCCCCTGGATGCAATTCCGCGACGTATCCATGCATTCCGTCCCGGGATGGATTTTTATTTACCGGAAGTGCCCTCCGCCCTCCACCCGGTAACCCCGTGGACATTGCAGAGGTAAAGAAGCAAATGGAAGGGAAAAAAAAGAAAGAAAGAATGAAAAAGAGGAGGACCTCCCGGAAATAGGAGGGGAGATCGTCTTTCGACTCTTTCAACCTTAGCTCCCTCTGTTAGCCGGGGAGAGGGGAGCGGGGAAATAAAAAATGGGAAAAAGGGAGGAAAGAGGAGAGGAGGGAAAGATTGAAACAACCGAGGGATCTCCCGAGGAATATCGAGTCAGCCGGGCCGCCAGAGGGAAAGATTGAATTCGGGGGCGGAAGTTAGGCCGAGTTGGGGCCGAGTTCGGGGGAGTTTGGCCCCGCCGGCTTCCGGGGAGACTTCCGGTACGTGCGTTACCCTTCGCGGCGACTTTCCGCCCGAACTTTCCTCGCCCGCGTTGCGGCCCCCTCGATCTCTCTTCTACTGTCCGCGATTTTTCCCGATTGGCCCCGGGAATCGGGAAAGCCGATTCCTCCACTTCCTCTTTCTCCTTGCCATTTATTTCTGTACCCTCGCAATTATCTCGCGAGTGCCCGTAGTCGAGGCTCCCGGTAAAAAAGGACGAGAGGTGGGCCAATTTGCCCCGGGATTGCCCCACCAGGAGCCGAAGACCCTCTCCTTCCTGTATTCTTCCGCCTTTCTCTTTAAATCCCCTTCGAAAAGTTTTCGGGGCATTTTCAATCGGCACGGGGGTGGGCCTTGAATGACGGCCCCGAGGGCTCGGTTCGATCGCTTTTTTTTTTTTTCGACTTCGGGGGACCCGAAGAAGACCAGGCTCCGTTTCAAAGGCAGCGGAGGGACCGATGCCCTTCCTCGTCTCTCCCTCCTCTTGGATGCACAGTCGACCGGCCGCTTTTTCCCGTAACTTTTGTCAATGTAAACGGGCCACTTCTCGTATCGGACCTCGACTCGCGAGAACTTCTACCTCTCTCTGCTGGGGGGCATAAAAGGCGATCCGATTGAACGTCTCGAATGGCCTCTTGAAAGGACCTCCGCCGTTTCCGGCTCCCTCGATCTCTCCATCCCTTAGATCCGCTCGCTCCATTATTTTTCCATTTTTTTTTTCTTCTTCCTCCTTTCCCGGCGAATTTGCGTTCGAGCGCAATTACTTTGCGTCACTATTGGCATGTCGAGATTCGGAACGGGTCGGCGTCTCTCTTGTCTCCAACCGGCGGACAACCAGGGAGGGAATAAATTCTAGCCGACTTGTAAATGGGCTTTGACGCATGTAAACTACGCGGGGCGCGGGTCTCGCATGCAAATTAAGGTGAAGTGAAACACGCCGAGGAACTTGATCGACGTTGATAAAGATGATTTTTATAAATGCCTACGTTGCCGACTTTGGTTTTTATATTGACAGCTGTGTCGAATTATATTGGGTATTGTACCAAATGGCATGATCCACCTGTCGTTTTCGTACGATAAATATCAAGAAATCCTCTGGATTCATGCTTTATGGGGCCCTAATTGACTGCAGAGGGACCCCCTGCGCCATCTGTGATTTCCAGGTCGATTAAATTTTCACTCCGAGACCTCGTATTCCCATCGTTTTGGCATAGAAGCGCATACAACACTTTTTTTTCCCTTTATCCCGTTCAAATGCGAGTTTATCGATTACCAGAGTGTTCTAAATTGTTGTAAAATTATCCTGACCCTTTCGATTCTCATATCAGAGCCTTCGATAATTGTATTTCGAACGAAATATGAGAGCTCGACGCCATTTTGGTTCTGGTATGAAGTGAGTTGAAAAATTAAAAAAAAATTCAAATTCTCAATGTGCCAGGACAATTCTTAGATGACGCCAATTTTGTTTTTGGTCTGAGCTGAGTTAAAAAATTCTTTTAAAAAATCCAAATTTTCAATGTGTCAGGACAATTCTTAGATGACGTCAATTTTGTTTCTGGTCTGAGCTGAGTTAACAAATTCTTTTAAAAAATCCAAATTTTCAATGTGTCAGGACAATTCTTAGATGACGCCAATTTTGTTTCTGGTCTGAGTTGAGTTAAAAAATTCTTTTAAAAAATCCAAATTTTCAATGTGTCAGGAAAATTCTTAGATAATCAGGATGTGTCAAAGTTTCAGACAGTTTGATCCAATACCCTTAAAAAAAAGTGTTGTATTCGAATCGACTGATTTGAAGGGGGTTTCACTTCACCTTAACGTATCGCGGGTTACCGCGAGATCCTATCTCGCTTGTCCCTTGCCACGTGGATAACCGATCGGGCCCTAATCGATCCTATTGATTTGATTTTCGCCCTTATCCGTGTTTAACCGGGGACGCCGAAATTCGCTTCCGTTTGTCCGTTTCTTTGATCGCGATCCCGACGCGAGCGTTCCGTCGAGCGGCTCGATTAGCGGATTAATTAATTCCCGGAGGAAACTCGAGAGCACCTGGTCGAGGCACTCCTTTTCCTTGCTCTTTATCGCCCTCCCTCTCTCTCCTCCCTCTATCACTCTCTTTTTAGCCTGGCACTCGAAATTCGCCGCGTCGCTGCCAACGGGCTTCTATTCCTGGGAGATGCCAATTTGGCAGATCCACACCGAGGCCTGACCGAGGATCCTATCGCGGGTCTCCGATCTATCTTCTCGGCTGATAAGCATGTGGACCGCTCCGATAACGCGGACCCCTGTTGCGGAGAGATCGCCCGAAGAAACCGACGACACGGAAAAGCACCGAAATCTCGCCCGTTATCAGAGGATCGCGCGAGGGAGACTCCTCCGGGGGGAGGTCTCTGATAAGGCCTCGATAAGGCCCCTCGTAATTGTTTATTTAGATCCGTCGACAGTGAAAGATTGCTACCGAATTCTCGCATTCGACGATCGAGCCGCTGATTGCGCGTATGCGACCTTATCACCGGTGGGAGGGAGGGAGGTCCTTATCACGACGCGGATAGACCGCGCGTTGGCACCCGAAATGATTGCATAACGAGTGCAACCCGGTCGTTCGATAACGGTGGAGAAATTGATAAATCTCGACAGGGTTGTTCTCACCCCCTGGGGGAACGTCTCGACGTGTAATCGTTTCGAGAGGATCGAAACTAGAAATCGATAGTCAGAGGCGGTTCGTTACGACCGTCGTTATGTTTCATCCGGAATTAAGTCGATAGGTTTCTTTTCTTTCTTTTTCTTTTTTTATTGTTAATTTAGTTTTATCGGAGCCGGGGAACCGCGGCCCGACGGGCGATAAAGCGTTTATCGGCCTCGAGGCCGCGTTAATTAACAAACGAAACGTCCGCGGATAATTGCCACGGGGGATTGCAATCGGCGGGCCGACCTTGAATTAACAATGAATATTTAATCGAGTCGCGCCGACTCGGGACCCGCGGGAATCGGCATTTAATCCCCGAAGAACCCGCGCACCCTCTGATACGTTATCGGCGAGACCCCCCGCGGTGATATCGCCCCCTCGGATACGAGGATATCCGAGACCTCTTGATTGAAACCGATTCGAGATTAACGGAAGGGCGAGGCCTGGTCTGCGGTTTAAAACCCGGAACCGCCGCCTAGGGCCGTTTCCGCGGCGGAACGTCCGCGGCGGAAAGATATCCTCGCTAATGGGACGTGTCTCGTTAAACGAGCCGGCGCTAATTTCCCGCGGATGCGCTCGTTGGGATCCGCCTCGAGAGCCGGTCAAGGTCTCGTCCTCGCTCAGAATGCTCCACTTTTTTCTTTTTCTTTTTCCTTCCCTAACCTTATCACTAGGACGTCTCTTATCACTAGAAGTACCAATCAGCGTCAAAATGACCGGGCTCGGATGGCCCAACCATAGTAAAAAAAAAGAAGAAAAAGAGAGAAAAATGTGCCGGGAATTCTACCGTCAAACGGGGGCTTATCACCTGTCTCGGCTTTCTTATCTCTCTCTTCTTTTTTCTTTTCCTTATTTTTTTTCCCTTCGCTGATTGCACCGAAGGACTCTCTGTTCTTCCTTTCCTCTCCCGGCCTATACTCGATGATAGCGAAAATTCGAACGAGGACGGTTCTATCGGGATAAGCGGAAGGAAGGGAATGGAAAGTCCTGGCTCAGAATGCTCCATTTTTTTTTCTTTTCCCTTCCCTAACCTTATCACTAGGACGTCTCTTATCACTAGAAGTACCAATCAGCGTCAAAATGACCGGGCTCGGAGGGCCCAACCATAGGAAAAAAAAAAAAAAAGAGAGAAAAATGCGCCGGGAATTCTACCGTCAAACGGGGGCTTATCACCTGTCTCGGCTTTCTTATCTCTCTCTATTTGTTTTTCCCTTCGACTCTCTGTTCTTCCTTTCCTCTCCCGGCCTATACTCGATGATCGCGAAAATTCGAGCGAGGACGGTTCTACCGGGATAGGCGGAAGGAAGGGAATGGAAATAAAGGGGGAATAGGAGAGGGCAATTTCACGCGCGGACTGTTTTATATCGGGCCGCGGGAACGGCGATCTCCTCGGCTCTGCGATAACGGTCATACTCCATAAATGCAAGTACCGATCGTCTAATCGCGATCGAGCCTCGATGGCCAGTAAAACGATTCGATCGTCGGACGGCTCCGGATTTTTACCGTTCCCGATTAACAATCGGCCGGATGGATTTGGCCGGAATCTTTCCGCCGCTCCCATTTTTTTCCGCGGTACTCTCTCGTCAGGGGAGGAAAAAGTCTTCGGGTCAGTTTTTCCTGAGGATGGTTCTCTTTTTTTTTTTTTTCTTTTTTACACGGGCACCTCGAGCTGGAGACGCGACGCTATCGACGCGACTCAAAGGCGGCGTTTAATTGCCGCGGCGTTTTCGTACCCGTTCCCGCTCGTTAAACGCGGCGAGTCCGCGCGGAGTGCATTAACGAGGGCCTGATAAGCAGGCGATTCTTCTCGAGGAGGACTGTGACGGAGGGTTCCCGGACGTTGCTTTGACGTTCCTTCCTTCAGTCAGCGAGGTCCCCGCCGAGAGGAGCTCGACCCGCGTGCGGGGAGAATCGCGCGGAGAATCGGCGGACACGGATCGAGAGGACGACCGAGGGAATCGGTGTATATACGAAGGGGCGACGAATCGCCTTTACGTAATCGCGTTTAACGCCGTTGTAATGCAAATCCCGGCGAGTCGGATGCGCGCGGAAATTACGCGAGGCCGGAGTATATTGGATTTCCTCGCGTGCGGATTAATAATGACCGTCCCCGATGAGGGAAATGAGGCTAAAGTTAGACGTGACCACCTGTAGGCAAGGTTGGAGGGGAAACACTCCTTTTCCTGGGATGCGTCTTTATCGTGCATTTGTCCTTTCCCTTCCATTTCTTATCAACGCGCACGACTGCATGTACTTTCTTTTTTTTTTATTCCGTGATTGGATTGCAATGATTAATCGATACCCGATTGGCTCTCGCCCTCTAATCGTCCCGATTCCTCCCTTAGTGGTATCTAATTGCTCCTATCTGTCCTAGACTGCCTGATAAGAGCTCGTCCTCTCCTTATCCTGGAATGCATCCTTATCATACAGTTGTTCTTTCCCTTCCATTTCTTATCAGCGCGCACGACTGCATGTATTTTCTTTTTTTTTTTTCGTGATTGGATTGCAATGATTAATCGATACCCGATTGGCTCTCGCCCTCTAATCGTCCCGATTCCTCCCTTAGTGGTATCTAATCGCTCCTATCTGTCCTAGACTGCCTGATAAGAGCTCGTCCTCTCGACGAATGTGTTCCAGGTCGTGGATCGCCCAAGATGGCGAGCCCCTACTAACCCACGTGGAATTAACAGCGTGTCGACGAGTGGCCCTAACCCTCTTAGACTAACGCGAGATGTGAGAGTGATAGAGAAGTAACCGTCCAGGAGGAGATGCGGAATGACGCGGCGGAGACGCGGATCGCCGGGGACCGCAGCCGGTAAGTCTCACCTAACCTCTAAACCCGTTCCCGGAGGCTTTTTCTCCCACGCTACGCCGCTTTTTCGCACCTGGGAGGACCCGGAGGAGGAACAAAGGGGAAGCCGGGATTTTCACGGCCCTCCTTGTAGAAGTCGTCGACGGTCGCTCCGGAAAATCCCAGCCTCGTGACAGGGAGACCCGCTCTCGCGGTCGGAAATGGCGGAGAGGACGCGCGGTTCCGCTCGGGCGGACCATCCGCCTGGTTACTTATCCGTATCTCTCTCTCTCTCTTTTTTTTTTTATTACCTCTCGTCTTTATATAGAAGGCGCGGAAGGAACGGGATAATCGGTTTTTCTTGGGAGAACAAGCGTTCGGAAATTTTTCCGCCAGTCGGAACGTACGCACGTGTCTGTATACTTGGCGCGAGACTCTACCGAGTCTCCCCATCGGCGGTGGATCTTTCACCGAGACGAAAGGGAAGTTCCTTCGTTTCCTATTTTTAATTTTAATTCCCTTTTTTCTTTTTTAATACTTTCCTCCCTATTAATCGCCGCGGTCTGCTATCCCGGCCCGCGGAGAAATGGGATCCGCGGATTTGTGCAATCGGGCCTCTGTAATCGAGCGGTTTCTTCCGTTGCGCAATGTCTTTGAGGTTATGGCGATTGGCTGTGCCGCAGGGGCCGGCCGGTCTCGAGGAGATGGAAGAAACGCAGGATCGCGGGATGGTGCGCTCGGGTGAAGTATAAAATAGGGGGGAAAGGGGGAGCGGAACGAGGGGGAGGGCGTAAACGCGGCCGATATTCCGCTTTTCCGGGGGTTTTTCCCCGGGCCCTCCCTCCCTAAACCCTCCTCTACCGTTCGCCCTACGACTTTTCGCGGATCGCCGGTCGCCGGGTCGGTAGAGAAAGATGGACGAAAAGAAAAGGGGAAAAAATAAAGAAAAGAAAAAAAGATTGGAGGCAAGGGAAGGGAAAACCGAGTTTAAACGGGAGGCACTCGCGGGATTGCTTCCGCGTTCGCGCTCACCTTTTTCCGCGCCTCTCTTTGGCTCCACCGGGCGGCGCCACCCTCCTTGCCGGTTTCACGGTCATTAACTCGCGCCACTGTACCTACGCGGTGTCCCTCTCTCCCTCTTTCCTTGTCGCGGAGGCCTTTGATTCGATTAATTACTCGTCCTGGTTCCCGGATAGCAGGGAGGAAAGCTGGGAAGCCGACGGAGGAACCGAACGGGGAATAAGGTGGGAAAAAGAGGCTGGGGAAGAGAGGAGGTTAGACACCGGAGAGAGAGACGTCTCTCGAGGGGAACGGCTTTCTCTCGACTCCCCCCCTTCTCCTCCCTCCCCGTTAATTTCCCGCCGTAATCGTCGGAGCCTTCTCGTTTGTTGGTTAACGTCGGGCCGGTCGTTACGCGCGGCAAAAGTAACCGACCGATAATGGAAAAAAGAAAAAAGGGGGAGGAGGGGAGATATCTCCCCCTCGTTCTCTCTTGGCGCTCCGACGACGACGTAGAGGGATCCCTCCGAAGGGGGAAACTGAGGAGAGGAGACGAATTCACTGATGGAAATGTGCGTCGCGGAGGCGAAATCTTAGAATCGGATGCACCAAATGGATATGTCAGATTGGGGAATGAAAATTTGGTTTATATCAACAATTGGTTTTACTCCACGACGTGGATTGTTCTTATCAAGAAAGTAATCGTTTCTTGCGAGCGTATACGATTCAGACGACGATATATATTTCTTTCGGTGAACTGATTTGCGTTTTTTTTTCGCGGGTAAAAAAAATTCGTTTATTATCAACAATTGGTTTAACTCCACGACGTGGATTGTTCTTATCAATAAAATAATTGTTTCTTGCGAACGTATATATCAGGCGACCATATATGTTTCTTTCGGTCAACTGATCTTTGTTATTTTTTCTCGGGTAAATAAATTCGTTTATTATCAACAATTGGTTTAACTCGACGACGTGGATTGTTCTTATCAAGAAAGTAATCGTTTCTTGCGAACGTATATATCAGGCGACGATATATGTCTGTCTCGATCAACTGATCTTCGTTTGCGTTTTTTTTTCGCGGGTAAAAAAAATTCGTTTATTATCAACAATTGGTTTAACTCGACGACGTGGATTGTTCTTATCAATAAAATAATTGTTTCTTGCGAACGTATATATCAGGCGACCATATATGTTTCTTTCGGTCAACTGATCTTTGTTATTTTTTCTCGGGTAAATAAATTCGTTTATTATCAACAATTGGTTTAACTCGACGACGTGGATTGTTCTTATCAAGAAAGTAATCGTTTCTTGCGAACGTATATATCAGGCGACGATATATGTCTGTCTCGATCAACTGATCTTCGTTTGTTTTCTTCTCTCTCGAGTAAAGAAAATTCGTTTAAAATCAACAGTTGGTTTATCTCGACGATGTGGACTTTTCTTATCAAAAAGGTAATCGTTTCTTACGGTCATATATATGATTCAGGCGACGATATATATTTTTTCGATCAACTGATCTCTTCGTTTCTTTTTTTTTTTTCTTCTTCTTCTCAACCCTCCCCCTCGTGGCGTCGACGCCCTACCGCGATATTCCGACTCTCTCGAAAGGCGATTAAAAGTTTCCACATTAATTGTGTACACTCTTGCCAGAGATGGGCACCGTGAGCCGCGAGTCGCGCGTCGCCGCGGAGGAGGGAAAACACTTTGCGGCGAGATTTCCCTCCGGGCGGGGAAAAAGTTTGCGGGGCAGGGTCAGTGGGAGAGGGAGGTGGGGGGGGGGGAGAGAGGAAGGGGGGAAATAAGAGGTGCGATAAAGAGGAGCGAGTTCCGCGAGAGCTCTTCTCCAATTCCATCCGAAACCGCGAACGAGCGTGCTCGGTCGAAGCGGAAAGCGCGTGCGAACGCTTCTTTCCGCTTGCGTACAGTCGCGCTCGTTAATACTTGTTTAAGGTGGGACGAAAAGGGCCATTCTATTAATCGAAACGTGGAAAATATAAAACTTTTCTCCGTACTGGGTGCACATAAGAGAATAATTTGATATCACTAAGGTCTCAACGAAGGTCTTGAAACTCGGGAAATTTCATGTTTCGAGGGAAAAGGATTTTTTTTTATTCACGTCCGTTTTTTTTTTATTCACGTGAAGTTCGAGGTTATTCGGTGCACCCGGTTTGGAGGAAAGTCTGACATTTTCAGATTTTGGGGTGTAGGACTGTTTCGTGAATTCGGAGCAACTTCGACATATGGGCGAAATTCGTATGACCGTGCAGGCGATATTGGACCAAACGTCGGGCGCCTTTAGGCGCTCTTAGTAGCCTAAGGGGTAAGGTATCGTTCCTGGGGTACAGTGGGGCGCGTTAAGGGGCCCCTTTTTCTTATATTCTTTTCCAGCCGGCTTCCCGTTATCTCATTTTATTCCCTCCAATTATTGACCATGCCTCGCAAGAAATCTTTGACATCTCCGGCGAGAGGACGGTTTACGGTTGTCTCTTCCAGTTCGCGCCGAATGGATTTTCCCATTTTATTATCCCGCCCGTACCAGCGACGAGTACCGGTGCCCAGGGGAGCGTTGCATAATGGCGGCCCCGATTCCCGGGTAACTTTTTCTCGCCTCCCGACGCGGGGGGAATTTCTTTGCGGTGAGAATTCCTTCGCGGCGTCCGTCGCGGGAACGGATCCGCCTTTCCGGAGCTGCGGACGCATTCCGAGGGGACTTTGCGCCCGTCCGATCCCCTCGGCGGTCGGCCCTCGAATGGCCCAGCTGATTTCGTCTCCGCCACCCACAGGTGGGGGGCGCGGGACTCGCGATGCGCGCGCATCCCCTCTGCTGACGATGGACCGTCATTACGCGCGCGGCCTCGCGGCCGGAATGCACGCGCATTCGCCGAGGGTGCATCCTTCCTGGGACCTGGGGTATCACCCTTTGGGGACGATCTCCTGGACTTTACGGAATATCCACACGCGCCTATCTATCGCTTATACGGCGCGATTATGCGTGTTTCTATGTGTATATGTATATGGATATATATGTCGCGGACTTTTTATCTTCGATTTCCTTTTTAATGCCGCGGAAACGAGTTTTCGCCGGGTCTACGGGTCGCGGAGGGCTCTTGCTCGGCTCGTGGGCTCTAACGATTCCCGTGCCGTGAATGGTGATAGAAAGTGGCTTAATTCGGGCACCACGAGCAGCCGTTTCGCGATAACCGGAGTGGCAAAAGCCTCCGACCGCTGATTAACGCCCGGCCCGATTCCTGCTCGACTCGTTTACTAGACTCGAACTCCGGAAAATTCAAGAAATTCAAGAAAGTCCAGAAATTTTCTGGGATATCCAGCCAACCTCGATTTCGGCCCGCGTCGTCTGTATTTTTACAGTCTTTCCTCTATTTCTTATTTTTCCCTTTTTATTTATTTCGTGATAAGCAAAGTGACAAAGCCTCCGTTCGCCGATTAACGCCCGGCCCTGTTCCGGCTCGACTCGAACTCCGGAAAATTCAAGAAATTCAAGAAATTTTCCGGGAAATCCATCTAGCCTCGATTTCGGCCCGCGACGTTTGCATTTTTCGAGTCTTTCTTCACTTTCATTTTTTTCCCCTTTTAATTCGTTTCGCGATAAGCGAAGTGGCAAAAGCCTCCGCTCGCCGATTAACGCCCGGCCCAGTTCCGGCTCGACTCGAACTCCGGAAAATTCAAGAAATTCAAGAAATTTTCCGGGAAATCCATCTACCTTCGATTTCGGCCCGCGTCGTTTGTATTTTTCGAGTCTTTCCTCCGTTTCTGTTTTTTTCAGCCAAAGGTACGATATCTTTTCCCTGGGGCGCAGAAACGTCAGTTTTCGGCGCCTCGGTCCGGTTTCTCGATTTTTCCTATGGTCTCGCGGCGTTCAAGCCCGATTGGTTTTCGGGTCAGTCGTTTAATGAGCGGCCCGTAGAAAGCGGAATTCTTCGACGGCTAGTGTCACCCCGATCCCGTTAAGGGGGTCCGTTTTGCACGGGACGCGGTTCCTGGAGCCGCGGAATCCCGGGGGC